ACAGAGGAGACTAGCAAGAGAGAGAGAGAACACACCAGGGAGTGGGCTTTTATTGGGGAACAAAAATTCCAGGGAAAATCCCATCCAATGAAGGTTAAGGGGGGCAGCATCCCAAGGTCAGGGGCGACGATTGGGTCTTTGGGGCAGTGGCCAGACACGCCTCTGCATGGACAAGCCCTCGGACCTGGGAAAGGGTGGGGGGAAAGCTCTAACACAGCTGTGTCTCAGCACCTCTCACCCAGCCAGGGAGGTAACTCAAATCACATGTGAGGATGGCCTTCCACAACATCCTGAACTAGGATATTTGCATGATATGGTAATCACATTTTCAGGAACCTCCTTCTGCAGTGTTTGTACCATTTTACATTCATACCAATAGTGTAGTAAAGATTCCATTTTTCCATATCTGCTCCAACACTTTTTTTCTGGTCATCACAACAGATGTTGAAACAATAGCTCATTATGGTTTTGTGACAATTACTGATGTTGGACATATTTTCATATACCTGTTAATCATTTATGTGTCTTCTTTGGAGAAATATCTGTTTATATCTTTTGCCCATTTTTTAATTGGATCGTGTGTGTGTGTGTGTGTGTGTGTTCTGTCTATTGAATTGTTAGGAGTCCCTTGTGGATTTTGGATCTCATTTGATGTATGGTTTGCAAATATTTTCTTCCAACTCACAGGTTGTCTTTTTGTTCTGTTGATAGTTTCCTTTGCTGTGAGGAAGATTTTAAGTTGAATGTGGTTCTGCTTTTTTAAATTTTGTTGCTTCTGTTTTTGGTTTCGTATCCAAGAAAACATTGCCTAGACCAATGATATGAAGTTAGGTGTTCAACACTTTCAGTTCTTGTATTTAAGTCTTTAACATATTTTTAGGGGTGTGCGTGTGTGCGATGTAAAAATGAGGATCTATTTTCATTCTTTTATATGGATATCCAGTTTTACTAATAACATTTGTAGAAATTGGAGTACTGATTTTTGTATGTTGACTTTGTGTCCATCAACTTTACTGAATTTATTTCTTAATGCTAAGGGAGTTTTGGTGTAGTCTTTGGGGATTTTCTAATGGAAGATCATGCCATCTGAAAAAAAAGACAATTTTACTTTTTCTTTTCCAATCTGGATGTCTTTTTTGGTACCGGGGATTGAACTCAGGGGCACTCGACCACTGAGCCACATCCCCAGCCCTATTTTGTATTTTATTTAGAGACAGGGTCTCAGTAAATTGCTTAGCTCCTCACCGTTGCTGAGGCTGGCTTTGAACTCATAATCCTCCTGTCTTAGCCTCCCAAGCCGCTGGGATTACAGGCTTGCACCACACAGCCTGTCAGGATGTCTTTTATTTAGTGTTTTTCTTGATTAACTAGCACTTCCAGGATTGTGTTGAATAGACGTGGTGAGAATGAGCATCCTGGTTTCTGATCTTACAGAAATAACCTTCAGTTGCTTCCCACCTCCTCCCTTTCTGTGGGAGAAATTGAAACCAGGGCCTCGTGGCGCTAAGCAAACTCTACTATGGAGCCACATCTCCATCCAGGTTTCAGGTTTCTACTGTGGGTTTTCCGTATATGGCTTTTAGTATGTTGAAGTTATATCTATTCCTGGTTGGTTGAGTTGTGTTTTTGTTTGGTTTGGTACCAGGAATTGAACCCAAGGGGGTGTAATCACTGAGCCACAGCCCTTCTTATGTTTTATTTTGAGGCAGAGTCTTGCTAAACTGCTGAGGGTCTTGCTAAGTTGCTGAGGATCTTTCTTGCAATCCTCCTGCCTCAGGCTCCGAGTCACTGGGATTACAGGCGGGTATCCACAACACCTGGCAGGTGGAGCTTTTTAAATCCTGAAAGGGTATTGAATTTGTCAGCAGTCTTCTCTGCATCTACTGAGATGACCATGTGGTTTTGATTCTTCATTCTGTTAATGTGGTATGTCACACTAGTTCATTAGCGTAGGTTGACCCATCTTTGCATCTCAGGAATATCCTGCTTGGTCATGGTGTTTGAATCTTTAAAGTTCCTGAATGCAGTTTGCTAGTGTTTTGATGAGGGCTTTTACTTCTGTATTCATCAGGATATCGGCCTATAGTTTTTGTGTGATATCTTTTCCTAGTTTTCATATCCAGGTAATGCTGGCTCCATTAGAATTCCCTCTTCTTCAATTTTCTTGAAGAGTTTGGAAGGATAGGCATTAATTCTTTTTAAGTGTGTGGTAGAATTCACCGGTGAAGTCATATGATCCTAAGCTTTTCTGTGTTGGGAGGCTTTTGATAACTTCTTCAGTCAACAATGATGAGAATTTTTGTTGCTCCACAATCTCAGCATTTAGTATTGTCAGATCTTCTCCTTCCTTTTTTTTAAAAATTTAACCACTCCATTCTGGGCACATTGGCACATGCATGTAATCCCAGCTACTTGGGAGGCTGAGGCAGGAAGATCACTAATTTGAGGCCAGCCTCAGCAACTTAGCAGGGCCCTGTCTCAAAATAAAAAATAAAAAGGGCTTGGGATGTGGCTCCATGTTTAAGCAAACCTGGGTTCAATCCCCAGTACCAGAAAATTTAAAAAATAAAATAAAATTTAACCCCTCCCTCAGGTGTGTAAGGTTATCTTCCTATTACTATCACTTGCAATTCTCTAATGACATCTGATATTGAGCAACTTTTAATAGTCTTATTTGCCAGCTATATATAAACCAGTCTAACATCATAGAGCTTTTCTGTTACGCTGTCTTCTAGAAGTGTTATAGCTTTGCATTTTAAATCAAGGTCGATGATCTACTTTTGAGTTAATTATTGAGAAAGGTGTAGAGTATTTGTCTAGCTGTTCAGTTGTTTCAGCACTATTGAAATGATTGTCTCTTCTCCATTAAATTGCCTTTATTTCTTTGTCAAAATTAGTTGATTCTATTTCTGTCTTTTCCTAGCTGTCTTTTCTGCGGCACCATTCTCTGTTTTGTTTAATTGGTTTATTGTCTATTCTCTCACTGAAACCACACTGTCTTTATTGTTGTAGCTCACAGTAAGCCTCGAAGTCAAGCAGTGGTGTTGGTTCTTTGACTTTGCTTTTTATTTACAATATTGAAATGACTTTTCTGAGCCTTTTGCCTTTTTATAAAATGTTAGAATCAGTTTGTTGAACTGGGTACAGTGGCACACATCTGTAATCCCAGCGGTTTGGGAGGCTGAGGTGGGAAGATCACAAATTCAAAGCCAGCCTTAGCAACTTAGCAAGGCCCTAAGGACTTAGCAAGACCCTGTCTCAAAATAAAAAAATAAAAAGGGCTGAGGATGAAGAAGAAGAATCAGTTTGTTGACATCCACAAAATAACTTGCCTGGATTTCACTGGGATTCCACCAAATCTATAGATCAAGTTGGAAACAACTGATATCTTAACAATGTTGAGTGAACATTGAATATGAACACGGAATAATCTCCATTTATTTAGGTCTTTTGTATATGTTCCTAAGTCCCTTCGTGGTCGATGGTCACTCGGCTACCTTGTCAAGGGGGGTAGAGACACGGAATCAACACACTCCGGGAGCTGGTGAGAGACCTGACTGGAGACCCACCTCAGGGCGTCGTCCAGTAGCTCAGTTTATTTTTGGAATGCACACACTGTTATAGGGTTCAAGTGGGGCGTGCCTGTCAATCATACATAAAGAAGACAATATCCATAAGCCAATCATCTTCTGCCTAATGTAACCGCACTATAAGGAAACTAAATATTCCTGTCCTGGTGGAAAGCAATCTGGAAGGGTCTTTAGGGTTTCATGCCCTTAAGCCTCTGACTCTCGGTTTCCTGGCCTGGTAGTTTGGCAATGCTAACCACAAGTTCTGAGTATGTGGTTTCACCCCACCCTGCAGGCCTTCCTGTCAGGCCTGAAGGAATGTGGATACTTCAAGCACTTCTGAGCTGCGACTGAAAGTTATTCCAACAGTATTTGATTTTTTTCATCAGAGATTTGGCACTTGCTTCATATGAACTCTGTGCCTATTTTGTTAGATTTATACCTAAGGCCATGCATGGTGGCTTATACCTGTAATCACAGAGACTCAGAGATTGAGACGGGAAGATCCCAAGTTTGAGGTCAGCCTCAGCAACTTAGCAAGACCCAGTCTTAAAATAAAAAATGAAAAGGGCTGGGGCTGTAGCTCAGTGGTTAGAGTATCCCTGGGTTCTCTCCCCAGTACCAAACAAACAAAGACTCAACCTAAATATTCCTCCCTTTATTGGTGCTAATATAAATACTACTGTTTTGAGTTTTAAAGTCCAATTATTGATTTCTGTTACATAGAAAACCAGTTCTCTTACAGCCAAATCTGTTGTTAATATACTGTTGTCCTGTGAATGTGGTGTTGAAGTGTGGGAGTTGGAAAAAAGTCTGAAATGTGATGATTTTTTTAAGTGGGCTTGAGTCCCTGGGCTTAACACTTTTAGAGTATTTATCAGCTTTTTTCCTACATGTCACCCAAAGATTACAGAGGCCTCAAAATGTCTAATCATCCTTCCTCCAGTTAGATAAAGCTCTGCTAAAGTAGACTTTTACAGACAGGAATTTTTTATTGAGCAAAGAATGCTATTTTTTTTTTTTGGTCAATTGATTTTTATTTTATTTATGTATATGTGGTGCTGAGAATAGAACCAAAAGGGCCTCACATGTGCCAGGTGTCTGTTCTACCACCAGCCCAGCCCAAATGCTCTTTTCTTAAATGATTATTTTTTCTCGCTTCCTGCCCAAAGCAGAAGGGTTTTCTCTCTGGTATAAGAACTTGGTAGCATTTCTGAAAGTAAAACTCTAAAAAGTTTAGGAGCTCCCTGGAGACTAGGCCCTGGAGTTTGAACCAGCCCTTGCTCACCCTTCAGTAATTTGACAATTGCCATTTGACACAGATTCCATCTGAAATTAAAGGAATCCTGTGAAATAAGGGGCAAGTTCCTTCTACTGATAACGAAAGTTCCCCCTTTTTTTTTTTAACTTCTGGACTTCCGCATGATAAGAATGAAAACTACCCTCTCCCCGTTGCCAGATGTCACTGACATGTTCTTCAGGTATCACGCTAAGTCTGTGTGTATATATTCCCTGCCTTTCATCCCACTGTGCTGCCTCTTCTCTTATAAAAGATTCCTGGACCTTGAGTTTTCTGAAGATGGAAATTTGAAACCAACCAACCAACAAAAAGTCTTCTTCCTTCAAATCTGGCTTTAAATAAAACCTATTTTCTGGCCAATGTGATTGCACCTCCGTGGAGCAGGATGGAACCTCCCTCTTCCCTGACCCAGTAACTAAGTGTTTGGCTGGCTCTGGCTCTAGCAACTTCTGTACCAGGTAAGCTGTTGATATTAAAAGTTCTGTTCTTGGGCTGGGGTGGTGGCTTAGTGTTGGAGCACTTGACTAGTATGAGTGAAGCACTGGTCTGATCCTCAGCACCACAAAAAATAAATAAATAAATAAATTAATTAATTAATTAAAGATATTGTGTGTGTGGGGGGAAAGTTCTGTTCTTGTCCCAAGCCAATCTAATAACGAGGACAAGGTTTTGAGAAAAAAGGATAAAGAAGTTCTATTGCTCTACTAGCAAAGGAGAAACTCTGGGTACTCCTGTCCCAGAGCCTGTGCTTCTGTAAGGGGAACAGAGGGCTTTTAAAGAGGCGATTCAAAGGCTACACTCCAGCTGGACCCTGTCAGGAGTCCTAATTCACTTGTAACTTTGAGAGACAGCCATGTCTCAGATCCTCTAGTGCCAGTCCTGAAGCCTAGACTCCTTCATTCCTGTGGTGTGTGGGCTGAAGGATCAATAACTTGGCCTAGGGCAGGAAGAAGGTCAATATTGCTTCTACCATGATTGGGAAGGGGGAGAAGGAGAAGAGAAAGGGAGTGAACCAACCAACCAAATGAAACCAGTTTTAAAATAAGATTTAGTGGCTGAGCAGTGAGGGTTATCTTCAAAGCATGAAACGGTCCCCTGTTCTATTTCTTCACTGTCAATTTCTATCTTCCATTACAATGGAAAAAGGGACAATGTCATCTCCAAGTTGCTTCCTGCTGAAACTGGGCAATGAAGGGAGCCCTGGAATGGAACATTTATACCTCCTATTGTCATTTTTTCTTTTGGACTTTGTTTTTTTGGTACTGAGGATTGAATCCAGGGGTGCTTAACTACTGAGCCTCATCCCAGACCTTTTAAGATATTTTATTAGAGACAGGGTCTCAATGAATTGTGTCCTACTCACCTACTTGGTGAGAACAAACACATTAATGCACAGTTTCTGTGGGACTTTTACTGGAAGGGATAGAGATGTGATTCCAACCTTGGTGGGGACCTGGAAGAATCACACTCACATAAAGCAATTAATATTTGACTGATTGACCCGCATACTACATTAATCTAGTTTCTTTTGCTATAGCCACATTTTGTCCCTCTCCTTCCCCAGGTTACCAGAAAGGATCTCTACTATATAGTTTCTTCCTGGGCTCAATTTAAGCATGCTTCTGGGAATGCCCTTATTGAAGTGAGCAGTTGGCAACACCCTAACCCATTGCAGGTGAGTTTCTTGGCATAGTTTAACCACTGTCTTTTTTTTGAGTACCAGAGATTGAACTCTGGGGCATTCAACCACTAAGTCCATTCCCAGTTCTATTTTGTGTTTTATTTAGAGACAGGGTCTTACTGAGTTGCTTAATGCCTCATCCTTGCTGAGGCTGGCTTTGAATTCACAATCCTCCTGTCCTAGCCTCCTGAGCTTCTGGGATAATAGGCATGCCACCACGCCCGGCAATCACTGTGTTTTTTAAGGTGTGATTTATCTTTTCTGTTTTCCCTCTAGATTGGGATCCCAGGCTGTGCATACCTTCTGTTGCCCATCCAATCCACCAGCTCACTTGCTGGGTCACTTCTTTCCTTTGGACATTCTGAGAGTGCTTGTCAGGATAATTAGCTCAGCTTTCTATGCTGATGTTCCAGGTGGCAAAGCCTCAGCTCCTAATATCTGCTGTTCTGTGACCACAGTACGTCCAGCTATCTGCAGCTCCATTTCCCATGAAGCTACTCCCATCTATGAAGAGGTTCCAGTTCAGCTCTGTGATGGGCTCATCAGACAAGTCTAACCCGATAGAGTAGACACTCTCTAAGATTTCAGGCAGTTAGGTTGTAGGGTCTCATTATCATCTAATGGAAACTGCTGCTGGATTTGAGGTGGACACCATTTTAAGGTTGACCTTGGGGTTGCCTGGTATCTCCCCTCCTCCCAGCAGTCAGCCAGTAGCCACTTCCCTATTCAAGTAGGACCAAGACTTGGTGAGAACAAACACATTAATGGGTTGTCCTCAAGGGAATTTCTCAACCTCTTGTAGTAAATCACAAGTGACAGTTACTGCCCAAAGGTGGGGTGGGCTGGGGACATCCTTTTGCTTCATAGTCAAGCTGTTTTGACAAACAGTCCACTGATCATGGCCCATCTCCCAACATCTGCCCCAGTGATGGGTGTCCCTGGCCAAATGAGGTGTCCTGTCAGATCTTAAAAGGGGAGACCCATTCCTGTCCCCAGATCATGGTCTAGCAGTCTCAACACCCACTGCCATGTCCTTTTTGGCCAGCCAATCCCCTTGTCCCATGACCAAAGGGGCTGGGAGGCAGGACGGAGGCCAAGTCCTCTTTGCCTATTTCTCTACACCCCAGGACGCTTTCCTGGGGTTTCCTGGGTGGGGTGCATTACCCACAGTGGAGTGAGCTGCTGCAGCTGCCTGGGGCCGGGCTGAGGGGCAGGGCCAGGCCTGCCTGCATGGGGCTGAAAGGGTTTATGTCTTTCTAAACTTCTGGTGTCCTGCTCTCCTTGCAAATCAGAGGCAGGGCCTTTTTTGGACCATCAGCTTAGTTTCTGACTGTTCAGACTCTTTCTCATACAGCTGCACAGCACCCTGCACATATAGCGCTTCTCCCATTTACCTAACCTCGGACAGACCAGCTCCAATGGCAAGATTGGATATGGATTCAGAATACCACTCAATGACCAGATTTTGTCACAAACATCATCTTTTACTTAGACAGGTTCATACCTGTGTGTGGCTCTTTTAGCTAAGACCTTTTTCAAGAGACTCTCAATCAGTAGGATTAACACAGCATTGCCCTCATCTTAAAGGGCCAGTAAGAGATGCAAACAAGGGACTGAGGTTGTGACTCAGAGGTAGAGCGCTCGCTTAGCACGTGCGAGGCACTGGGTTTGATCCTCAGCACCCCATAAAAATAAAAACAAATAAAAATAAAGGTATTGTGTCCAACTACAACTAAAAAAATATTTTAAAAAAGAGATGCAAACAAAAACACAGAAAGGGATGAGCAGAGGGGAGCCCCAAAACCATGGCTGACAGACAGAAGCCTTTAAAATAGACAGCAGATAGGGAAAAAAGGCCTGTTTCCCTACTCCTACCTAACCATGACCCCTACACAAATGGTGACACTGATGTCCCCACAAAGAGGGACCAGATGCGTGGCATCAAGGGTCTCTGCAGGCCCACTGGGGAAGCTTACCAGATGGCCAAGGTGTTGCAACTTTACTGCATTCTGTTCCCTTTTTCCCAAAGTAGACCAATTGGTGGAGCAACCCAAACTGTTCCGGAAGAGAAGGAGGGGGTTCCACAAATCAAAAGGAGCCTGAGCAGCTACTGGGACAGTCCCTCAGTCACTCTTACTTACAGGAAGAGCTCCTTGAGTCAACTCAAGGCAAACTCACCATGTCTCCTAAGTCTCCAGTGGTTGGCTCTCAACAAGCTCACCAGACACCCTGCATCTTCAGCATGGGTGCAAAAGACCAGAGTGGTGGCAGTGGTGTGTGTGGGGAGTGTTCTTGGGTCCTATATGAGTCACCAAATGTGATATCAAAAGCTCAGTCCTTGTCCCTGATGCTAATCTAATAATGAGGACAAGATTTTGAGAAAAAGGAAAAAGAAGTCTTATTGCTCTGTTAGCAAAGGACAAACAGGGTACTCCTGTCCCAGAGGCTTGTTTCTGTCAGGGGGAACAGAGGGCTTTGAAAGAGGTAGTTCAATACCAGGCGCAGTGGTGCAGGCCTGTAATCCCAGCAGCTCAGGAGGCTGAGGCAGGAGTTCAAAGCCAGCCTCAGCAAAAGCGAGGTGCTAAGCAACTCATTGAGACCCTATCTCTAAATAAAATACAAAATAGAGCTGGAGATGTGGCTCAGTGGTCAAGTGCCCCTGAGTTCAATCCTAGGTACCCCAAAACAAAAGATGGCTCAAAGGCTATACTCCAGTTGTGCCTTGTCAGGAGTCATATATTCACCCATACCCTAGAGAGCCAGCCATGTCTCAGATCCTCTTGTGCCAGTCCTGAAGCCTGGACTCCTTACCTTTGTTCCTGTGGTGTGAGGGCTGGAAGATTTTGACCTCAGATGGGAAGAAGATTAATATTGCTTCCACAATTGTTAGGGATGAGGAAAAGGAGAGGAGAAATTTAAAGGAGAAATTGTCCATGAGCCATAGTGGCAGAGCAGAGTTATGTTTGAAGCATGAGGGGGGCCTCTGTTACACTGTGATTCTCTATAGTTGCCTGTCTGTTCAGTTTTGGGGGATGGCAGTGGCCCTTTGCCCCCAATTCTCTGCTGAATCTAGGAAGACCTGTTGATTTGCAATTTATCCAGCCTTGTCTTGTTGATGGGCACGATGATTTTCAAGCTTTTCACTGTCAGAGCTGAAACCAAAAGTCTCCTCTCATGGACTTCCAACACCATGATTTGATACCACTCAAAATTATTCACTGATTAATTTAGTAATTTTGCATCTGTGTGAGAGAGGTCGGTCTATAATCTTCCTTTATTGTAATATATTTAGTAGGATTTGGAATCAAGACGAGGTTTTCAAATGAGTTGTGAATGTCCCTTCTTTTTGTTTGCTGGAGAAGAATTTCAGTACTCCATGTAAATTGTTAAGTGTTTGGGAAAGTTTGCTAAGGAAGCAATCTGTGCCTAGTATTGTCTTTGGCAGAATGTTTTAAATTATGGATTCTGTTTAGTTGAAAACAATACAGCATTATTTGGATTTATCTTTCTTCTTGTGTTCATTTTAAAAATATTTTTTAGTTGTCAAGGGACCTTTATTTTATTTACTTATATGTGGTACTGTGAATCGAACCCACTGCCTCACACATGCTAGTCAAACGCTCCACCCCTAAGGTACAACCCCAGCCCTCGTGTTAATTTTGATAAGACGTTTTTTGAGGATTTGTTCATTTTATCTAAGTTTCCAAATTAATTGAAATAAGGTGACTTATAATATCTTCCTGTGATGTTTTAGTGTCTGTAGGCACATACCTATTGTCCTTCTCCCTACTCTGGGCTGGGAAGGCCTAGGTGCAAGTGCGGCTGATCCACTCCAGTGAGGCTGTTGGGGTTCTACACAGAATCTGGACAGAACATCAGGCAGCCCTTGCTGCCTGATGTTGGGTGGAAGAACAGAAGTGTTATACTTTGAGCCAACTCTACTTCTTGTTGAAAGAGAACCCGCCTGCTTGGGGAAGGCTGGTGATGCTAAAGGCCAGAATTTGAAACACAGCAATTCTTAGGGGCTCAGAAAACTTGCAGGATCAATTTTCAGGCTGTCTAAGAGATGCAGTAGGAGCCGGATGTTCTTCAGCCCATCAAAACGTGGTTCATGCTGCTGAGTATAGCTTTGAATTATTTAGTTATGTAACCAGACTTTCCAGAAACAGCCATTATTGGTATATAACTTTTCTGTAGATAATTTCTTATTGGTTCTTGAATTTTAAAAATTCTCCATCTAGGGTCTTGATCACATTCCAGATGTCTAATAAAGAACTCCAGGTTTCCACAGGCCAGTACCTCAGACATTTCAGGTGGCACAAGATTTTGGTTGTGGTGCTAGCCATTGTGTCTTGCGTGAGTATTCCTTGTTCCACTTACCTCTATATAGAACTTGAGCTGGTTATTTTCATCTGGGAGAAGGAAGCTGAGAGAAACTCTCTATTTTCCCACTTTTAATCCATAAGCAGAAGTGTCATGACAGGACACTTAGAAGGTGTCTTAGAAAGAGAATGAGAAAACTGTGTCAGGTAGGGATAGAAGATAAGGGAGCCCAAAACCAGCCCAAAAGAGTATGCTTGAAGAAAGGGCTGGGTATGTAGCTCAGTGGCAAAGCTCCCCTAGGTTCCATTCCCAGTACCAAAATAATAATGATAATAATAATAACAAGAAGAAGAAGAAGAAGAAGAAGGAGGAGGAGGAGGAGGTGGAGAAGAAGAATCTTGTCAATGTTTAGATAAGTTAACATCAATGTTGTAACTACTAGTTCTGGTGAAACTCAAAATCTTTTTCTGTTTTTCTCCTTATTTATTTATAATTTTATAAGTGATAGAAAATGTATCATCTTAATCATTTAAGTGTACATTTCAGTGGTATTAAATACATCCAAACTGTTGTGTGACCATTAGCACCTTCTATCCCCATAATTCTTTCCATCCTACAAAACTACAATAACTTTCATCCCTCCTTCCCTTAGGTTCTAGGAACCATGGTTTTCTTTTACAGTTTTCTAGGAAAGAATTTCCTGCTCATTCTTTTCATCTTTGTACATTCTGCATGCATTCCCCCCCCAAAGGGAGGCTACAGGATGGGAAGGAGGGGTTCCTCCTGCTTTTGAAATACAGAGAGAATGACTTATAAGGGAAAGGGAGAGCTGGAAAGTGGGGTCTGCGGGAGTGTGTGCAGATGGGCAAAAACTAATGAGGACCAGGAGGAGTTGTTTATTCTCTGTGGGATTTACCAAAACCCACTGACACATGGTTTTTAACAGGAGCTAGTGTCTATGGTTTTGTGTGGTGGCAGTTGTGTTAGATTCTAAACTTTGGCTCAGAAGCAGTGTAAGGCAGACAGTTGCCCTGCCTGATACCTATCACACACTGGAGACAGGTGAATTGAAATCTCCCTCCCAGGAGGAAAATAAGGAAAACCCACCACTGATAAGTGCCTCTTTCTCTACCCACAGGTCCTGTACTTCAGGATTTTCTGGTCTGGCAACAGTGACCCTTGGCCTCCAAAGTCCCCTTCTGCAGACAAAGATCCCACTTCTCTCTCCCTGGAGCTCCCCAACTTGATCCACCTTCTATACTGGCCTCTGACCCCAGGAGATGGGGGGAACCTTTTGGCCTCCACCAGCCACAAGACTTCCACCTACCACCTGAGGGGTCCTGCTCAGGACACCTATGCCCTGGGAAGCTACCTGGAGGTTGTCCTTGTAGCCAGGGACCACCGGGGCAGGCCCAAGACCCATGGTGGGGATCTGTTTCAGGCAAGATTGCTGGGTCCAGAATTGAGAGCAGGGGTCCCCGGGGATGTCCAGGATCTGGAGAATGGCACATACCTATTGTCCTTCCCTCTGCTCTGGGCTGGGAGGGCCCAGGTGCAAGTGCGGCTGATCCACTCCAGTGAGGCCGTTGGGGTTCTGCGCAGAATCTGGACAGAACACTGGGCCACAGTTGATTTCATAGGCTATTTCCGGGGACCCAGGGGAGATGAAGAAAGTGTATCTTGCAATGTGAATCCCTTGTTGATCAGGGAGGAAAAATCCTTCTGCTACTACAAGGATGAAGATTCAGGTGAATTCTGGTATTGTGACCAGCCCCCTACCCTGGCCTGCAGCATGCTGGTGGGACATTCAGTTGGACATTACTGGAATGTGACCACATCTCATGAAGAGGCCCTGCTGGCTTGGTAAGAAAACGTAGAATCTGTACTGTTGTTCCTTGGCTTTTCCTTTAAACCCCAGCAGGTTTAAATTTTACAAATTAGAGGGCCACACATGTCACAAAGACACAAAAGCAGGCCTTTATAAAGCACAGGGTCACCTCTATTTCATAGGATCATTGCTCAGGACCCAGCCCAGACTCTCATTCCAAACCCTGGCACTCATGAACAGTGCTGCTCAGGTCCACTGAACTTCTCCTCCTTTCTTTCTCTGTGCCCTAAAATCGGGAAGTCTGATGTTTGGTGAGATATGACACCACAGATGTACAGACATCACTTTATTGTGTGGCAATTATTTGAGTGACAGAAGTTTTTAGGTATGAAAAAGGACAAGTTAATTAGGTTGTCAGATCTTTCCTCTCAGATTCTTGAATATTCATTTCCCAGGTATAGGAAAGAAGAAGGGAAGGAAGGAACCCCATATCATTAAGGGTCCCTGCCCAACCCCTTAATCTTGGTCCCTGTAATTATTCTGCCTTGGCTCTTAGTCTTATCATTCATCTCTTCACATCTATGAAACCCATTTCCTGAGCACTTACTATACTATACACCAGGACTCATGCTAAGTACTGACACACGGTAGATCATAGTCAGCATCCCTGCTCTCTCCACATTTTCAGTGAGGCACGTGACTTTTTAAAATATTTTTTTAATTTGTAGTTGGACACAATACCTTTGTTTTATTTATTTATTTTTTATGTGGTGCTGAGGATCGAACCCCGGGCCTTGCATGTGCAAGGTGTGTGCTCTACCGCTGAGCCACAACCCCAGCCTGAGGCACGTGACTTTTTATAACAGGAAGTGTGATGAAAGCTTCACTGTCATGTGACCTGAGTGGTTTGAGGACACAGAAAGGGCACTCCACATAGGCCAGGACAGGTGACAATTTAGCTGCAACTTGAAGGAGACCCATGGACATGGAGAAAAAGGCAAGAGTCCCAGTCCTTTCTGTTCTTCTGCAAGAAGAGGTGTTGATTTCAAAAGCAGCTGCACATAGGTGGCCAGGGAGTAGGGGGTTGAGGGGTGACCCTGCCAACTAAAAAGGGAACAACACTGTAGCCTGGAAGCCAAGCAAGATGAAGGCTGAGAAGTATCCACAGTGTCAGGGCAGCTGCACACACACACACACTGACAGAGAACATACTGGCTCATAGTGAGCCCCCCCGTCCTTCAGAACTGAGATCCCTGGGATGAGGGAAGCATTTTCTAAGATGGGAGAGCAGGGCTCTCCAGAAGAGAGGTCTCCAGAAGAGAGGGCTACTGAAAGCAAATGACAAGGAGGCAAAAAAGGTCCTCAGAAGATGTCTGGGTGCAGACAGAGCAAAGAGAGAGGTCCATCTGCCTCTGAGAGCATTGCCTAGATGAGAGGTCTAGATGAGCATAAAAGTTTTATACTTTTAACAATATAAAAGTTAACTCTGGCAGCTATGAGTATTGGAAAGAGCCAAATGACCAAAGCACCCAGGAGAGCTGAGCTGGAGACACTCCTCGCCCCCAGATGCGCATCTAGAGACTCTCAGCAGCTCTTTGTGGAATTCACAGTAGCATTCAGTCCCCAGCCTGAGAAGTTAGCACAGGGAATCCTGGTCTTTCTTGACCAGTTTTATGCCCTACTTAGAAAAGGAGACCCACGTGTCCTTTTTGCATTAGTTGATAGGAAATAAATCTATGATTCAATGCCAGAGACACCATAGCATGTCATGTGGAGGTAAAGCCCAGCATTTCTGGAGCAAGATTGCTTGGGTTTGAATACCGGCTCCACTGACTATCGTGTGCCAATTAGTATTTATGTCATATTCTATTACTAAAAGGTTACTTAACCTCTCCTCATTTCAATTTCTTTCCTTGTTTTTGAAAAGATATAATAGTAGTAACAACATGGCAGAGTTGTGATCAGGAAAAAAACAAGTTAGTGCATGTAAAGTGCCTAGAACTGGGACACCACAGGAAGGATGCCTTAGCTTCTGTTGCTATTGAATCCTTCCCTACACAGTGCCAGACGCTGTCCAAGGTGCTGGAGGTTTTGAGGCTAGACGAGAACGGAGGACTTTCTGTAGCAACTTAACAGTACGCTGACAGAAAACAGGCATTATATAGATAATCGAATGGGTAGGAGGCATGAATTTGCAATTTCAAGTTCAGGTGTTTTCTTTACCTCAACTTTAGTCAATTCTGAAGATCTCTGCAGCTAGGCAGATAGGAAGGGTTCCCCTTGCCTATGGCCCTGCAAAGCAACCCACCTTGACTATCAGGAATCCTTCCTGAGTCCTCTTTCAACACGAGTCACCCCAAAGTAATACTCTCCAAGTCTGTGTGGCCTTGGGTGGCTTTAGGTAAACAGGTACCTCCCGGCTGGGTTCAGAGTCCCTGGGATCAAATTGTATCTTCCCCTGGAGCTCTATGGGGGCACTGGGGTCTTGAATTCACACGGAAGGCCATCCTTGTGCAACTTTTGAAATTGCAGGTCTATATTCCTGCCCCTTCCCCAGAAAGCAAATCCTCTCCCTTTCCTAGGACCCAATCATGGCAATTGTCCATTCCTTCATGCAGCAATTGCATATGAAATGCATAGCCCTGCTTAGGCAATGGAAATAGAGTAGTGAACAAAAACCCTGCCACCCCAACCTTTCCTTCTTTCTTTTTTGGGTACTGGGCATCAGATCCCTGAGTCTTGTGCGTGCTATGCAAGCACTCTGCCACTGAGCAACACCCCAGACCAAGACCCTGCTCTTTTACACTTCCCTATGAAAAGAGGAAGGCATGATAAACAATAAACATAAGAATAAGCAAAGTATATAAAAGGAGACAGGAAATATAAGAAGTTAAAATATAGAGGAGGAAAGATTAGGAGTGAATGTGGCAGGGAGACTAAGGGAGGATATTTCTCAGTAATCGGGCAGGAAATGAGCTGTATTTTGAACTCAAGTTGTAGTAGTTGGGGTGTTTAAAGTAGTTTATTTCTGGATCTATCCTGAAGGCAGAGACCACCTGATTTCCTGAGAGACAGAATGTGGAATATATCATAAAAAGGAACTCACAAGAGGAGCACAGTGATACATATCTGTAATCCCAGCTACTCATGAAGCTGAGGCAGGAGAATTGCAAGTTTAAGCCCAGCCTGGGCAGCAACTTAGCAAGACCCTGTTATTTTTTTTTTCTTTTCATTTTTGATGGTACTAGGGATTGAACCTAGGGTTATGCTACCATTAAGCTACCTCCTCATCCTTTTTATTTTTTATTTCGAGACAGGGTCTTGCTAAATTGCCTGAGCTGGATTCAAACTTGTGATCCTCCTATTTCAGCCTCCTGAGTCACTAGGATTACAGATGTGCATTACTGTGCCTGGCTCAAAATAAAAAAATTTAAGAGGGTTGGTGGTATGGCTTAATGAGGTAGAAAGGTGGGAGAAGAATCCAACTGGGGTGGGCGTAGTGAGACCAAGAGGAGCATTACGATGTCTTATACAAGGGTTCAAGTGCTGAATATGGCAGCACCTGACTGTCATCTCAGTGATTTGGAAGATTGAAGCAGGATGATCTCAAGTTCAAGGCCATCCTGAGCAATTTAGCAACATCCTATCTCAAAATTTAAAAAGATAAAATGAAGATTGCTGCAAATGTAATTCAGTGGTAAAAGCACCCCTACATTCAATCCTCAGAGAAAGAAAAGAAAGGCTTCGAGCATCTTCTGGTATAAAATGTGTGGGTTTGTTTTTTTTTTTTCCTGATGCTTTGATATTTTGTGACCTTGCAGACCTGGGAGGGACTGCCTTTCCCAGGGTTAGCTAACTCCTAGAGATAGAAAATGACCTGCCTTTGAGCATTCCTTTGATAAGCAAACCAACAATCCTGAGTCCACCCCATGGTTTATCAGGCTCCCGCAGCCCTGGACACCATCTTCCTGCCTTCAATCGCCCCATGGCCAGGTATCTGACAAATAAAGACCACCTCTTATAGCCCAGAGTCCACTGAAATTATTCAAACTAGCCTATTTTAAATCCTTATCTTGTCTTGTCCATTCTTTCCAGAGAAGATTGCAGTAAAGGCTATTACCCATGTTTTTTTCTGCTCCTTTTGCCTCCTGACTATCCTTGGCATTTTCCCTTGTGGCCCTGTGTGGCATGCCATGCTCCCTTCTCACTGGGAACTGTGAGTTACAAACTCTTTTCAATGGGAAATATATCCTGATCTGTTGGCTTTACCATACCTAGATGAAATCCAAATCCTGGGTACATTTTAAAACAATTCTATTTTCTGCACTGACAAAATCCCTCAGGCAGGGAAATTCGAAGAATCTGGGTCCTCGAACACTAGTTTCCAACTCCTCCCAAACACTCACTGTCTTCCAGGATTCTGGACACGGGAACAGGAGCCCTTAGAACTTCCTTCCCTTTGCAAACCCCTATTTTAGCTTAGCTCAGGATTCCTTCCTCTCACATGCTTCTATTAAGGAATTTTGTCTTCATAATTGGTTTCTCTTCAGGAATCTGACAGACAAGGTCCTCCCTCAGGGTATTGGTCCAGTCCATGTGGCCAGGAATACCAGCAGGAGTCTGGGTAAGTGGCTTTGGGGCTTGCAGATAGGACAGCTCTCATTCCATGCCTGTGGCATTAGCTTCTTCTATACCCACTGATTGACTGTCCTAATTACAGTTCTGTCCCCTGCACTACCATGCTACCCTGGGATCTCTACTCCAAAGCCCTCTGGCTTCTACCACCAAGATGTGTGGCACTCCCTGGCCTGCTCCAACCGACCCTTCCCCACTGTCAGCAGCATCCTGGGCTGTCTGGCTGGCCACATCATCCACATGATGGGGGACTCCACGCTTCGGCAGTGGTGGGAATATCTGCGTGACACAGTGCCCTGTGAGTAGGGGAGTGGTGAGAGACACCTGAGAGAACAAGAGGAGGTCCAGGGCTGCCAGAGGCAGATATCCATCATGTCAACGGGGCCCAAAGGCTTAGATTTCAGGAGAGTGATGTGAAAGAACAGGACACGTGGGTTTAGGGCAGAGGAAGAGATGGAAAAGAGGGTGTTCAAATTATGTATAGTTTCAACCATGAAGTAGATGATTAGGGTGCTCATAATTAAGATGTATAGATGACCATGGCTAGAACTAAGGATCTGCTGGGGGATACTGGAGGGATAGAGTTGGAATTTAAAGGGGGAAAAATACCTGGAGACATCAATATTGGGGGTTTAATCGTGAGGAGTTTGGGAGATATCAGATGTTTTTAAGAGGAGTTTTCAGTTTGTTGGACAGAAAGGGTTGGGCAAAGAAAAAAAAAAGCCTAGTTTATAAGACAATAGTAGAGGGCTTGCCTAGCATGCCTGAGGCACTGGGTTTGATCCCTAGCACCACATTAAAAAAAAAAAAAAGAACAACACTAAACAAATAGACAATAGCAGAGGCAACAAATGTGAGGAGAGATTAAATTGTTAAAGAAATAGAATGTCAGTAGTAAGGAAGAATGCAGAAGAAACTGGCCATGCCTGTTGACTGAGGGGTTCTAGAATAAACACATGACTGATGACTCTGGATAAGTACTGGATGGATTCAGAACAGAATTCACTGGGGTGCCTGGATGGGGAGCAAGGGCATAGGAGTGGCACAAGGTGGTGTACCTATTTCATGCCCCTTCATATGGGTGTGAGAGGTAGGAACATATAGATAAGGTGTTTGAAGATGTCGGATTGGAATTGAAATGAGATTTTATACCTGTAGATAGAGTTTTGATATTTATTCCTTTGGGAATAAAAGTTAAAAGATGGGGAATGTACAGGAAGGTGAGTCCCATCTAAGTTTCTTTCCTTTAAACACCAGAATTTAGAGCAAATTCCACAATATAATGAGTTAAGGACTAGGCCTTATTAGTAAGAGGGGTAACATGAGAGTAAAGATGAGCAAGAAAAGAAAGAACCAGGGCTGGGTGTGGTGGTGCTCACCTGTAATCCCAGTGGCTAGGGAGGCTAAGGCAGGAGGATCATGAGTTCAAAACCAGTCTCACCTACTTAACAAGGTCCTGATCAAATTAGTGAGGCCCTGAGCAACTTGGTGAAACCCTGTCTCAAAATAGAACATAAAAAGACCTGGAGAGGGGCTGGGGTTGTGGCTCAGTGGTAGAGCGCTTGCCTAGCACATGTGAGGCATTGGGTTCAATCCTCAGCACCACATTAAATAAATAAATAAATATAAAGTTATTTAAAAAAAAGAAAACTTAAAAGTAAAAAAGAGGGGTTCTGGCTCAGTGGTTAAGCACCCCTGGGTTCAATTCCTGGTACAAAAAAAAAAAAAAAAAAAGAACACAGGCACCTAACCCTCTCCCCACCTGTCCTCCCATCATCACACAAAGAGAGGTACATGGGGCCCATTTTCATGGAGGGAAAACATTCTTCCTCTACCCCCATCATTCTCCCATTTTACCTACAAGTGTGAATGAAGACATTCTTTTTTTTTTTTTTGTACTGGGGATTGAACCCAGGGACGCTTAACCACTGAGTCAATCCCCAGCCCTTTCTTAATATTTTATTTAAAAACAGGGTCTCGCGAAGTTGCCTAGGGCCTCATTAAGTTGCTGAGGCTGGCTTTGAACTCACAATCCTCCTATCTCAGCCTCCTGAGCTGTTGGGATTACAAGTGTGTACCACTGTACTCTGCTGTGACACAGCTTTATGGGGGGCTTCTCTGTATAAAAGAGTCTAGAGGTGAGTTTCTGTCTGTTTACAGGAATGGTCTAAAAATACCAGCTACCTCATCTAGAAACCTTGAGGCCTGTGGGATGTTGTCTGCTTCCTTCTCAAGAGATTGAAGCCTCTAGTCTCCCAGGAGGGTTATCCTGGGTGTAGCTTCTTCCTCTGGGAGGAAGGGGATCCCTAGTCCCAGCTAATTAAAAATTGGGTCAATGTCAGGTGACCTTGTAGGGTCACTGTGGGACAATTTACTCTTGGCAGAGTAGATATAATTAGTTCCCCAAGAGAAAAATATTTATGAAAATGAGTGGAAGCTCAGGAGAGAGGTTGGCAAAACCAGAGCCTTGGCTGGCTGACATGGTGCCTTTCTGTGAGTCAGAAAAAAGCACCTCTTGGGACCTACACAGCCCTGGAGCACATGGCAGGACAAACATGCAGGGACTTTATGCAAAGAAAGGGTCTCTTGGTGCAGTTGTCATCTAGCATATGAGTAGACAGATAGGATCTCAGCCACTGGCCTCCTAGGCTTGCCACCATGGTTCAAGGACACACACTGGACAACCCGGAGTCTCAACCTTGAGCAAATCTTCATCCAGTGGTAAATGAAGGAACCCAACAGGCAAATCCAAGTTGGAGAGCTCAGTCAGGAGACTGCAAAGCATGACAAAATACCACTGAGAAAGGAGAGAGCTTCTGCAGGAAAATCAATGTAACAGGATGATATAGGAAGTTGGAGAGGCTGAGGACTGAGAATAAGCTTTCAGATGTGGGAAACTGGCAATATCATAAACCACAGAAAATAAAACCAGCCAGTCCTAGAATACCTAGGTGCTAAGAGATGTTAGATCTTTTTTTTGTGTGTGTGGTGCTGGGGATTGAACCCAGGGGCTTGTGCATGCAAGGCAAGCACTCTACCAACTGAACTAGATCCCCAGCACAAAATCCTTTGTATTTTTTTAAGTAAGGAAGCCCTATATTAACCTCTGATCTCTACTCTTTCATCCTCCCAACAGCCCTGAAACCAGTGGATCTACATTCCATATATCAGGTGGGGCCCCTAATGGCCGTGGAGACCACTCGGGGCATAGTGCTGCACTGGCGAGCCCACAGCTGGCCACTGCGCTCCAAACGCACACCAGTGGCCTCCCTGCACTCCGTGGTCAGAGAGCTGGGGGGCCTGGCCGGGGGCCCCCATACCGTGGTGGTGCTGGGCCTGGGAGCCCACTTCACCACCTTCCCTCCATCCATCTTTGCAAGACGACTGGCAGGGATTCGGGCAGCTGTGATGGCCCTGCTGGAGCGGGAACCCAGAACCCTTGTGGTCATCAAACTGGCCAACACTGGCTATAAGTCTGTGTATGGCAGTGACTGGTTCACCCTGCACATGAACCGGCTCCTGCGATCTGCCTTTGCTGGTCTCCGTGTGGCCTTTGTGGACGCTTGGGAAATGACCTCCAGCCTGGCCCTGCCCGACAACATCCACCCAGGGAAGCTCACTGTGAGCAATGAAGTGAATTTGCTCCTCTCCTTCATCTGTCCCACCTGAGAGCTTCTGAGGGTTATTGGCCTAGGTTGACAAAGGGCCTGGGCCACTGTTATGAAGAAAAACACAGCCATAATAAAGCTTTTGGAATAAGGGCAGATGCCATCAACTTCTCTCATAGCAAAACGTGATGGCTTCCTAACTGATTCAGCAGATTCTATTCTTGCCCCACAACAACCTCTCCTCCACTCAGAATAAGAGTGATTTTTTATTAAATTCTTGTTTATTTGGTACCAGGAATTGAGCCCAGGGGCACCTTACCATAGAGCTACATATCTAGCCATTTTTGGTTATTTATTTTTCTTTTCTGGCAGGCTCTCACTAAGTAATTTAGGGTCTCATTAAGTTGCTGAGGCTGGCCATGACCTTGCCATCCTCTAGCCTTGGCTTCCTGAGATGCTGGGATTACAAGTGTGTGCCACTGCACCTGGCAAGTGATTCTCTCTCTCTCTCTTTCTCTCTCTCTATATATGTTTTTAATGAGACATTAAAAAAATAGCCTGCTCAAAAGCCAAGGATCTCCATTTTACTTAGTATACTAAGCCCTTTACAATGATCATCAAGGCCCTGCAAGATGGCTATACCTAACTCTGCATTATCCATCCCTGGCCCTTCACAGTCTGACCCCAGGGACTTAATGACGCTCAAGCAGGTTAAGCTGTCCTGCCTCAGGGGCTTATACCTGCTGTTCCTGTGCTTGGAATCGCCTTCCCCCAGATCTTCATATGGGCGGCTTTCTTGTCATTCAATTCTCTGATCAAAATCTCATAGGTTTTTCCTGACCACCCAAACTTAAGTAGCACCCTCTCTTCTCTCTGCTATCCCTTCCTCATTTTTTCTATATCACTAACTACAACCTATAATTATTTGGTTGCTACTACTATTGTGGTTGTCACCTCAATAAAATGTGGTTTCCATGAAGGACAGAGGGTGTCTAGGTTGCTCACTGTTGTATCCTGTGATTTACAGCAGTGTTTGATGATGCAATATTCAATAAACATCCCTTGAATGAATAAATCAGTTAATGAGTTAAAGTCAGGTGACTAAGGCGAGCTTCTCTATGTCCTGCACCTTTTCTCAGCAAACTGTACCCTAGGAGAAACAGGCAATTGGTCAAAGTGATCCCTTGTTGTATGGTTATCATTATTAATGTTTCTTTTTACATTCAGGGAGCTTCTACTTTCACTTTGGAGGACCCTCACAAGAACATTCTTGCATTTTCCCGAGGCCTGCCGAGGATTCACACATGTAGTTTGGCTGCAGAGATAGGCAGAGAGTGATATCCACAGTGATATTCCAGTGCCCTGAATGGAAAATCGGTCTCCTGGAAGACTGGAAGTGACTGGCCTTGCCTGCTCCGATTCTGGCTGATCAGGTCTCTGGGTCTCATCCATGAAGTGTAGACTCATCCTCTCCGCCCTCCGGTTCCTGGCTGCTGTTTCCACAACTCTTTCTTTCTGGTTGAGAGGCTTCCCTGACCACTCGAAAGGGGGCTCCGTGACCAGGCACCACCACGTCGGCGGTGCCCAGGACCCTCTTCCGACTCCGCTCCTGAGCCACTGGGTCTTCACTCAGCGCCTGCCACGAGTCCTCATCCCCGTCACGCTCAAACACATCTCCAGCCACCACAACGGTGCCCAGGGCCGTGCCCTTCACCACTACGCTCACGTCCCGCTGGCCTCCGTGGCCCGGCGTGGCCCACACCTCGAGCCCAGGTCCTAGGCGCAGGGGCCGCCCCTCAGTCAGTCCGTGGGGCAGGTAGCGGCCCCCTGGCAGGCAGAAGTCGTGCGAGACCAGCAGAGCAGCCCCCGGAAACAGCCCCAGATTTCCGATATGATCCGAGTGCCCGTGGGTCCCCACCACCAAAGTCACGTCTCCGGGGCCCACCCCTTGCCCCGCCAGGGCGCCCAGCAGCTCCTCCCGAGCCCAGGGGCCCCCAGTATCCACGAGGATGGGGCCACGGGCCGCCTCTTCCAGGGCGGTCTCCGCGCTGCCGGCCTCGGGCGAGGACTCTTGGTGGCTAGAGCCCCGGCCCCAGGCCTGAGGCAGCACGAGGGTCACGGAGCCGTCCGCGCGCACGGCATCGCCCACCTCCTCTGGCTCCGCGTAGCCTCGCAGCAGAACAACCACGGAGTACAGGTCGCCAGGCACCAGCAGAGGAGGCGCCCCGCGCAGCGGCTCGGTCCGCACTAGGTTGCTCATGGCAGGGGAACCACGGGCTGGCGAGAAATGAAATGTGGCTGTGGGCTAACGCCTCCAGGTTCTCAGCTCTACCACTAGCCAAGCGGCACCTTGGCTCTTTGACACCCCTCCCCCTCTTTTTTTTTTTCTTATTATTCCCCCGTGTACAGATTGCAGAATCACGTTGATTATACAGCCACGTTTATACCTACTGCCAAACAAGTGTCTGTTGCATTCTGCTGCCCTTCCTATCCCCCTCCCCTCCCCCCCTCTTAAGGTGGCATCGCCCTCCACTTCCGGCCGACCGTGGTACTGCCCGGCCTTCTTCTCTATGCGACCCCGCCCCAATAGTCTCCAGGTAGGTCCTCAACTGTCACCTTTCAGAGGACATCGTTTTATCCTTCCCTCTAACCCTACCTTTTCTCTACCTTGAACCTAATCGTAGCGCCTAGCACAGAACTTCCTGAACGAAGCACAGAAATCGGAAAATCGCGTGGTATTTTGTCCTCTGCGGGCGTCCGTAGCCCAACTACGGTGGCCGTATCGATACCGCACAGTTAACTTTTAGTTCTAGTGCTTCTCGCAACCTGCAGAGGCTGCTCGGATTTCAGCCTCCCTACAGTTCTCTATCTTGCGACCCCTGCCAGCTTCCTTGGGGTGCAGAATTACCAAGCGCCATTAGCTGCTAATGGCGGAGGCCAACGGCCCCATTGTCTGGACGCTGCCTCATTGACAAGCTACAATGTGTGCAGAGTCGTTTGAAACTGGGCCCAGACGATAGTAAAAAAAAATAATAAAATAAGTTTAATTGCGATATAGAAAATTTGGCACCCGCGAAGTTACGGAATAGATCAGGTAATTACCCCCACCTAACTTATCATTGCCTCACCGCCACCTACTGTCATAGTCTAGTTCACTGCTAGTATGTAACCTCCTGGGTGAGGTCATAGAGAATGTCTGTCTGGCCTCTTTCTTATAAGGGTCCAAAAACAGATCTCTTGAGGGGCATAGTGACTTTCTCAAGGCCCATAACTCCATGCCATCGCTGACTGTCTTTAAAGAGGAAAGCTCAATGCTGTCACCACACACACCTGCCATTTAAGTGGTTGGATGGCAGGCAGAAGGCTCATTATGTTGGAAGGACTTCCTCCTGCTGCTCCCCCCATTTCCCCCATGGTCATGTCATCCTGCATCCCCAAGATCCTCCCTGAGGTCATTTGGGAAAAAACAGAAGCCTTGGGGTGGGATCACTCATACACAAACACACACCCTTCAAGCTGTGGGGTAGGGAAAGCTGAGACTTAAGAGGGTTCTTCTCCATGACCCCTCCTGGGGGCTCAAAGGCAAGAGTCAGAGATCCTCTGGGTCATGCTTGGGGTGGCCTGAAGTCTTGATTCTCTCCTCCTCCTTCTCTCCCTCCTCTTCCTCCTCCTCTTCTTCTTCCTCCTCCTCCTTTTCTTCTGCATTCTCTTGTCCATCTGTGATCTTCTCCTTTCCAGTCCAAGTTTCCTGAAGACATGCTAGGTGGGGTTAAGAGAAAATAATTTAAATATTGGTTCTGGGAATAAGGAGGTTGTTGCCTGGCAGGAGAGGAGCCCAATCCCTACATTTACCTGTTTCAGCAGCTGGGAGCACATGGCCTTCACAGAGAAACTGCTGTAGGGGCTGCTCCTGATGGTGGAAGTACCAGTCTCCTACAACATCTTCAAACTCTTCCAGCATCGTCTCACACTGGTCAAGTGGAATGGTGGAAAGAACATCTGCTCTGCTGGGCTTTGGACACTTTCCTCTCAGCTCTCCACTCCCTACTCCCTACTCCACTGATTGGCCTCTCCATTGAGAGACAGGTAGCCAGGAGGTTAAGCTTGGCTTACATCTATTTATGATCTATCTTCATCCAACAAATATTTAACTAGCACCTATTCTGCTAAGTAGGTTGGGTAAGCTGTGAGATGGGTAAGGTGATCATACCTACCACATCAGGTTGTGAGAGTAAATGAGGCAGCAGCTAGAAAGTATGTGGTCCAGAATCTGGGACATAGTAGGTGCTCAATAAGCAGTGGCGGATAGTAATAGTTTCCAATATTATTTGATATTCTATTGGGCCCACTTTAATTGATGGCAAAGTCCTCATTCTGCCCCCTTCTTCCTGCTGAGAGCTGGACATCCCCTACAATCAAATCCTGGGACCAAGCTCTCCTCTCACCTCCCTGGACAGTTTGGTAATTTGTCTTACCTGCTTCTTTAGGAATGTAACCTCCACGCTGGGCTCATCCCACAGTTCCAATGGGATCCCCAGATCCACCTTCACTCCCTTCTGCACTAGGCCTTTCAATGTTGCCATGGTCTGACTCTGACCCTGAAAGATGGAGATTTGGGATCAGAGCAACCATCCCACCTTTTCCTTCCCTTTTTCACCATAATAGCTTTGTCAACACAAGAGGCTCAGGGATGAGTTCCATGAGGAGGGTGAGAGAGTCTGAACAAGAGGGGACTCTCTAGAGGTGGAGGGAAACGGGCAGATAATTCTTGAGGATCTCAGGGGACACAGGTCTTTGTTTCTGAGAATTAGAGTCTTTCCCTATTTAAGAATCTCACCTTGGCATATCTCAGCGATCCCTTGCGCTCAGCATGAACACTGTAATCCAGGATCCGCTCACATAAATTCTCCAAGGCCTCTTCCAGCCTTGTCTCTCTGTGGGGAGAAGGGAAACAAAGACTCCCTGGATGCTACAGGGGCTTCCAAGGCTCTTTGGTGGACTGGAAGGTGAAGGAGCACCAAGAAGGACTCACGAAATGCTGTAAGGCACATGTCTCTTCCTCTTGCCTGTGTCCAGGACCTGCCCCAGCTCCAGGACCTCTCGAGATCGGCCAGTGCGACTCAGTTCCTCCTGTAGCTCCATGCTTAGTAGCTTACACACTGGTAGTGAGGAGAGATGTCCAAGGGGATACAAAAGAAGAGTGAACATGCCAGCAGTTCATTCTGCACATGACCAAAGGCAACAGAGGACGCAAGTGCAGACTCTGGAGCCAAACTGACTGGGTTGGAATTCTGACTCAGCTTCTCAATATCTGTGTGACAATCTTGCTGTGTCTCAGTTTCTTCACCTCTATAATGGGGATAATACTATGTCCATGACAAGAGTGTGGTGAGAATTAAATAAATAAACCTATGCAAAATCTCTGGAATAGCTCTGGCTCACAGTGTTTATTGTTACTCTGCAGTTCTTTATTGTGCTCCTTCTGTATACACGCTCATGACAGATCAATAAGATTCATGATCTTTGTCTCTGAGACACTGTCAATGTAGCTAGAGATGGATAAATGGATGATGACAATATGGCGCGATGAACCCTACGCCAGGGTTAAGACCAAGAGATTTAATCTCACTAGGAAATGCAAAATCCATTCAAAGGTTACTTAATGACTTCTTACAAATCTTTGATTCTCATAAGGGTGAACAACATGTCTATTCCACTACTAGCATATACTTGGCTCATGATAGTTCCAAAGAAAAAAAGGGGGCCCAGCTGGGCATGGTTGTGCATGCCTGTGATCTTGATGTCTCAGGAGGCTAAGGCAGAAGGATCACAAGTGTGAGGCCAGCCTCAGCAACTTGGCAAGGCCCTACGCAACTTAGCAAGACACTTTCTTGAAAAAGAGAGAGAGAGATAGATAGATGGGGGCATAGCTCAGGGGTAGAGGGCCCTAAGTTCAATACCCAGAACTAAAACAAAATAAAACACAAAACCCATACATAGATGAAAATAACCTAAACAGGCAAAAATAACATTTCTTTAAACGTACCCAGCACTGTGCTAGAACCTGAGATACATAGGCACTCCCCCTTTCTCCAAGGGTTTATGACTGCAGGAGGTGACAACTGAGGAAGAAGGCTTCCAAAGGAGGTGATATTTAAACTGAACCTTGAAGAATGAATAGGAACTTATCAAATACAGAAAGAGGGCCATTTTGGGCAACGAAAAAGAGCAAAGTCCCAGAGGTGTTAGAGGATGTGCAATACTCTGATCATGAGAAGTTCAATGTCTGAAGTGGAAATACTAGCCAAATATATTGTTACATTGTGTGCATGTATGAATATGTAACTACAAATTCCACCATGATGTACAATTATAATGCATCAATAAAAATGGGGGGCTGGGGTGGGAGGAAATTCAGTGTCTGAAGCATGGGCACTTTAGGGATGAGGATGGGGTATAGGAACTATGAAAGTCACATCATACAACAATTACATGCTCTGCCAAAAAAAATGCTGCCTGGATGCTGATCATAGTAGGAGGCCTGCAGGGTTGTTAAAGCAAAAACTTCCAAGATTAAGTCTGTGTTTAGAAAGACAGGTGGCAGGAGAAGAGTGGGGACGTAAGTAAAAACAGGCACAGGATTAGAACCAAGTCATGAGGGACACTGATGTGGAAATGCAGAGACTGTGTGTGTGAGGTGAAGAGAAAAAGAATGGGGGGGCGGGACAAGCCAACGAGGCAACAAACCAGGGAAGTAGGGTACTCAATGACAAGGCTCTGAAGTGTCCCTCTCATTAACGCAGCCAGGGAAGATGCTGCTTGCTGCAAAATCTATACAGTACACGCTGGCTGCAAAGCTTCCCATTGACTGGGAACTTAGAGTTGTTTGGCCTCCTCATATTTTGTTATGAGCTTTAAAGGCCGAGTTACTCATCCTCAAACCCTCTGGGGGAGGATGGGACCTGTAATTTGGAAGCGTCTCTGCCGCGGGGACAGAGGAAGTTCACAAAGTATAAGAATCACACCCCGCCCCTGAAGGCTCTCCAGATTTAGGTCTGGTGGGTGATCTGGGGGGAACACACGCACATTGAAGATGATCGGTTGAGTGGGCGGTCCTAGGCAGACAATCCCTGAACTACAATTTCCACAACTCACTAGGGCCCACAACTGCAAGAAAAAGTGGGTTTACTCTGGAAGTTAAATGGAAAATGTAGTGCCACAATTTCGCGTTGGACGTAGGCGTTCCCTCCCCGGATCCTATTCCAACTCCGCCAAATTCCAACAGAACCTCACTCGGGGGTTCAAGGAGGTCGAGTGACCCATCCATCACGGTACGTGTGCCCCGGCCTAAACGAAGAAGGAGGGACAGGGAGATGCTAATAGAGGCTACTCCCAAGATACCTTCGCATTTGCTGGGCAAACGTTCTGTGTCATCGTCCTCTTCTTTCGGCGTCCCAGCCCAAGCACCAGTCACTGTCAAAAAGAAAAGCAATATTCCTAACCGCACAGGTCCCATGACAATGCGCGGTGCACAACCACCGTTTGCCTTCAAACCAACTTCCGGAAGGCGGCGGACCCTTTAAATTCAGAGGCGGTAAGCAGCAGCCTTAAACCCTGCCTCCCTGCCTGGAACCATCAGCGCATGCGTAGGTCCAACCCGTAAAGGGGTGGGGCCTCAGGGCGCTGGGTTTCCCCGCCTGTTTTGTGGCGCCTCCTGAAGGTCCTGGCTGCCGGGTAGTGAAAAAATAAATTCAAGTAACAGACTAGGAGAGTGTGCTTCTCGCATATACACGTAGTAACAATTTTTAAATGTCATTTCAGTTGTGAGCTTGAATGGTTTGTTATGGCTTGGGGAAGTGATGGTGACTTTCGGTTTCTGCCAGGACCTAGTGCTGGGAGGGGGCGGGGCCAAGATGGCGCCGAGCGCCGGGTGAGCGGCGCTTTGGCAGCGGTGAGAGGCTTTTACTGCCCTCTGCATCTGGTTGGCGGGGGCGGGTCTGAGGGGTATCCGGGAGGAGACCCCATGAAAGGCCCGTGTGGGGACTAGGAAGAGGACGATTGGTGGTGTGTCGGTGCTCTCGTGGATACTCCGTGTGTGTATGCATTGGAGGAATGTTGGGGGAGATGGGTGGTTTCTCTGAGCCTCCTTTCGTGCTGCCTGGTTCTCTGCTGGGGAAACGACTGCACAAATATAGCTCAAGTTAATTCTCCTCTGAGAAGCCCTCCTGCCGTCTCCCCTGATCTGAGACGCTCCCGAGATTACAGCGTGTTTTATGAGCCCTTACTGACAGTGGGTACCGCAGGGTTTTGAAGGATTAGTAGGAGTTCACTAGGGAATTGGGACACGACCGCTTCTTGTATACCCTGCATCAGGCATAATGTGTGGAATAATTTTGTTCCCTATAGATAAGACTTGTAAAAATCGGAGAGGAGACTTGGGATAATTTGAAAAAAACACATTCTCCCTCAGCCTTCATCCTCCTGTCCCCCCAGTTCTGAACACAGTTTGAAGTTACTCTTCCTAATGCCCAGATCCAATGGTGCCTTTTGACCACAGTGTAAACTCCAACCTTCAGCCTATGTCTTTTTATTGGTCTCAATAATTGTGATAGTATTTATTGAGCATCTGTATCTCTAAGGCCTTACAATTCATTCATTTATTCAAAAGGTATTTATTATTTACAGTGTCCCAGGCACCTGTCTGGGAACCAGGGATACACCAGTGAACATCACAAAGATTCCTGTCCACATGGGGATGATGGGATAGAGACGATAAACATTGTATCCTCTAACGATACAATGTATTAGGGGTTGTTAAATCTTATAGAAAAGAAAATGTAAAGCAGAATGCCGAATTAAAATAGCAATGGTAAGGGCAGACAGGCAAACAACATCTGAAAAGAACAGAGAAAAAGCTGAATGGCAAGGTCACGGAGGCTGATGTGACTGGATCAAAATAGAAAAAGGAAGGAGAGGGGATCAGAGAGGTAATGGGAAGAAGACAAATCATGAGGGGCCTTATAGGCCAATGTAAGGATGTTATGAGTAATGGGGAACCATTCCAGCAGAGAATTGACAACCTGATTTATATTTTAACAGAATCACTTTGACTCTTATAAGGAATAGATGTAGGAAAACTTAAGGTGGATGGCAGAAGATCTCATTCAGAGGATATTGGAGCTCTGCAGGAGATAGTCTTGAGCCACAGAGAGGGAGTTGAGAAATCAGGTTGGATTATCTGGCAGATTTGATATGAAGGCATAGATAAAGAATGAGTTGCTGAATGGGTGGCAGATGGAGGATGAGGAATGCTAAGGCTTGATCAGGTGGCACAGGAGATCAGAAATTCACTTTTAGCAAGGATTTTGAATCATATTTCTTTTGATCTCTTCTATCTGCCCCATTCCCCTGCCAGAGTATCCATCTCTCCACCCTGGGGCCATATCCTTCTGGTGAGGGAAGGAGGTGCTCCAGCATGGCTGAGGAGAAGAAGTTGAAGCTCAGTAATACCGTGCTGCCCTCGGAGTCAATGAAGGTTGTGGCTGAATCAATGGGCATTGCCCAGATTCAGGAGGAGACCTGCCAGCTACTAACGGATGAGGTCAGCTACCGTATCAAGGAGATTGCACAGGTAAGCTGGTCCATCTGCCCAGCTCTGCATTGTGTCAAGGTTGTTACCTTGACATGGCCTCCTTTTTCCTCAGGGTCTTGGATTTACATCTGTTTTTCTATCCCTCAGGATGCCTTGAAGTTCATGCACATGGGGAAGCGGCAGAAGCTCACCACCAGTGATATTGACTATGCGCTGAAGCTAAAGAACGTTGAGGTGCATGTGAGAGACAGGAAGGGGGCTGAGGACTGGGATGGGTGGTGAGACACTATCTTCTTGGATGCTGCATTTGTCTTCAGCCTAGCCTCTCCTGGACTGTTCTTACACCAATGTCCCCCCCCCCCCCTCTCTCAAAACAGCCACTCTATGGTTTCCATGCTCAGGAATTCATTCCTTTCCGTTTTGCCTCTGGTGGGGGTCGGGAGCTTTACTTCTACGAGGAGAAAGAGGTTGATCTGAGTGACATCATCAATACCCCTCTGCCTCGAGTGCCCCTGGATGTCTGCCTGAAAGGTTGGGGAAAGGGAGAGTGGGGTGGCAGGGAGGAGGGAGAGAAGGAGAAGATGTATGGTGTGAGGAAACTCACAAGTGAAGAAACCCTCAGTGTGAGAGCCCTGCTGAATAGCAGGAAGGAAAACACACCTGCCATGGAGTGACTTCCCAGTTTCCATGTCCAGCAATTCAACTTGACACCTTCTTTCCTCGCAGCTCATTGGCTGAGCATTGAAGGCTGCCAGCCAGCTATACCAGAGAATCCACCCCCAGGTAACCTCCACACCCAGAGCCCATCCCTCTCTCTCTGCTGCCTCCTTTCAAACCACTCCACTCCACCATCATTCCTGCTGTGATTGCTTTCCCATCAGCTCCCAAAGAGCAGCAGAAGGCTGAGGCCACAGAACCCCTGAAGTCAGCAAAGCCAGGCCAGGAGGAAGATGGACCCCTGAAGGGCAAAGGCCAAGGGGCTGCCCCAGCTGATGGCAAAGGTCAGTATTCTAGGTCAGGCCTCTCCTGGCTCTTATCCCAAAGCCACATGTGAAGTGGATGAAGTTAGGGCCAGAAAGTCCCAGGAAGGACCAAGAAGCCTAGAGGAAGCCAGGTATCCTGGGGTAGTATGTAGAGGGTACTGAGTCCTCTTTTTCCCCAAACCTGTTTTCCCAATTCACACAGGGAAAGAGAAGAAGGCACCTCCCTTGCTAGAGGGGGCCCCTTTGCGCTTGAAGCCCCGCAGCATCCATGAGCTGTCTGTGGAGCAGCAGCTGTACTATAAGGAGATCACTGAAGCCTGCGTGGGGTCGTGTGAGGCTAAGAGAGCGGTGAGGGCCCCATCCACCTGCCCTCAACCTAAGACTCCTCTTGGAGCCCTTGCAGATTCCTCCCCAAGAGATCTGCCGCCACCCCATTTGCTTCCCTCCTCCCACAGGAAGCTCTGCAGAGCATTGCCACGGACCCAGGGCTCTATCAGATGCTGCCACGGTTCAGTACCTTCATCTCTGAGGGGGTGAGAGGACTGGGAAGGCCAGGCCAAGGATGAGGCTTGGGGGACAGGGATAGCAGGGGAAGCTCACCTGAGGGGTCTCTCTGCCCCACATCCCTCCCTCTCATAGGTCCGTGTGAATGTGGTTCAGAATAACCTTGCCCTGCTCATCTACCTAATGCGCATGGTGAAGGCGCTGATGGACAACCCTACACTCTATCTAGAAAAATATGTGAGTTGTCCCCTTGCCCACCCTCCTCTTCCTGGGGTTAGGGGACTCTTGTTACCACCCATGGAAACCACTTGTCAGAACCAGCTGACCTGCCACTTCTTCCTTAGGTGCATGAGCTTATTCCAGCTGTGATGACCTGCATCGTGAGCAGACAGCTGTGCCTGCGACCTGATGTGGACAATCACTGGGCACTACGGGACTTTGCTGCCCGCCTGGTGGCCCAGATATGCAAGCATTTCAGCACAACTACTAACAACATTCAGTCCCGGATCACCAAGACCTTCACCAAGGTAAGCCTCAAGAACATGTCAACTATTTCATATCACCACCCCAGGGTTGTCACCAGTACAATGAGAGCTTCAGCCAAACCAATGTGGCAGTTTTGGCAGGGGGAAATAACACCTGGGACAAGGGGCAGGGGGACAGGAACTCGTGGGGGTTTGGTCTGAGGAACTTGAACCTCATGTGCAACATCTTAAATGATTTGTAAGGAAAGTGTTTATGGAAGACCTGAATCCTTAGCAGTCTTTTCATACTCCTTCATCTAGGTTTATTTTCCTTCTCTACAGAGCTGGGTGGATGAGAAGACTCCCTGGACAACTCGTTATGGCTCCATTGCAGGCCTGGCAGAGCTGGGACACGATGTTAGCCCCTCACCCCAGGGGAAGAACTAGGGGAAGGGAAGCAGTCTTGAGGTCTTAGAGGGCACCACCCCTCTACACCTGAGAGACTTCTGGTGACCCTGTGGCCCTGGCTTCTCCCTTTCCATTTTGACAGGTGATTAAGACTCTGATTCTGCCACGGCTGCAGCAGGAAGGGGAGCGAATCCGCAGCGTCTTGGATGGCCCTGTGCTGAGCAACATTGACCGCATAGGAGCTGACCACGTGCAGAGCCTTCTCCTGGTGAACAGACTGCCCTCCCTGACTTCTTCCCACTAATTCCCCCTTTCCCCACAGAGATGGTGGCTTAGCAAGGAAGCATCCAGTATATTTGCTTAATCCCATATTTGCCATCATATTTATTAACAGAACACTCTTCAGACTCGAATGCTGTTTTGGGTACATTTGCTTAATCCCATCTTTGCCATCATATTTGTTAACAGAACACTCTTCAGACTCGAATGCTGTTTTGGAGACAGAAAGGCGCATATAGGCTAAGATTTAGGGGCTCTTAACATATCCTGTGGCTTTTCCTGATTTGTAATGATACCCCCACCTCCAAGCTTCTTTCTATATCACTGTAGGGCCCATCTACAAGGCAAATGCACACCTATCGGTCAAGTACCCCTTAGATGTCATATATACAAAGCAAATATAGCAAGTCCTTCATTCACACTAGTTGGTGCTGTTTCCTTATGAGGGAGAACCACAGTATTCCTTACAGATGGAATTCCTTAGTTTTGCCTCCAATAGGGGCACCCTGAAATGTATGGGTGATTCTCACCCCTTCCCCCTTGCTCTTCTGAGATTACTAGCCTTCCCTCTTTTGCCTTCTCTTTGCAGAAACACTGTGCCCCTGTACTGGCTAAGCTGCACCCCCCACCTGACAATCAGGATGCCTATCGGGCAGAATTTGGGTCCCTTGGGCCCCTTCTCTGCTCCCATGTGGTCAAGGCCCGGGCTCAAGCTGCTCTGCAGGCACAGCAGGTCAACAGGACCACACTGACCATCACACAGGTCAGTTGCTAAGGGGAGGAGGGTGAGAGGAAATTAAGAAGGATCTGGGGATGGGATTCACAGACACATGCACATGCAGGTCAAGTCGACAAAAGTCTTGGGGAGTCTGGGCCCCCTAGTGAAGGATGCCCCAACCCGTGAGAACTACTGAGAAAGATCAGGAGCAATACAAGTCTTCCTTAGGCCATTCTTTTACTTGGGTGTTGACATTTTCTTCTTGCCTCTCCGTCTTGCAGCCCCGGCCCACGCTGACCCTCTCACAGGCCCCTCAGCCTGGCCCTCGGACCCCAGGCTTACTGAAGGTCCCTGGCTCCATTGCACTGCCCGTCCAGACACTGGTGTCTGCTCGAGCTGCTGCCCCACCTCAGCCTTCTCCTCCTCCAACCAAGTTTATCGTAATGTCTTCTTCCTCCAGTGCCTCATCCACCCAGCAGGTATGTGGAGACTGGGACAGGGATATGTCCCTTCAGAGCCCCTTGGGGAGGCCCCAGAGTAGAGCTCAGTCCCTTCTGTGCCCATGGAAGGACTACTTGCCAGGGTCTTGAAGGCCTCGAGCTGGCAGTAGTCTAGAGTTTCTTGAGGATGGACATTGTTCACAGGGAAGCTCGTGCCCTATCCCCCTTAGGCCTTTGGGGAAGTGGGAAGGTGCAAGGTGATTGGCACTGCCTTCTTTTCTCCCCCAGGTCCTGTCCCTCAGCACCTCAGCCCCTGGCTCAGGCTCCACCACTACCTCTCCAGTCACCACCACAGTCCCCAGTGTGCAGCCCATTGTCAAGCTGGTCTCCACTGCCACCACTGCCCCACCCAGTACCACCCCCACTGGCCCTGGCAGTGTCCAGAAGTACATTGTCGTCTCGCTCCCCCCAGCAGGGGAGGGTAAGGGAGGCCCCCCATCCCATCCCTCTCCAGTTCCTCCCTCATCATCTTCCCCCTCACCACTTGGGGGCAGTGCCCTCTGTGGAGGGAAACAGGAGGCTGGGGACAGCCCCCCTCCAGCTCCAGGGACTCCAAAGGCTAATGGCTCTCAACCCCCTGGGTCAGGCTCCCCTCAGCCTGTTCCCTGACAATGTCATCCATCTGTTGGCTGCCTCCTCCACGGATTCCTACACATGCACACACGCACGCCGGCTGGAAGAAGTAGTAGGCTGCTTCTCCCACATGACTTTCTTTTTAGATACTTTACAGTCAGTTTCTCAGAATAAAAGTTTGATTTGTAAGTCCTGAGCCTTCTTTTGCCAGATACCATGGAAGGGTGAATCCATGGAGGCCTCCTGGCCTTAAGACTCTTCCTGCTCAAATTTAGGGCTATAGGCCAAGATGCCAAGAAAGAAAATATCGTCCTCTTCTTGACCGCTTGTTGCCTTTGCCGCCTGTGTCTGTACTTGGGGAGCCTCAGATCCGAATGACATAGGCATCACTGTGGCTTAGGTGGCGTACCCACTTGTGGGGGTTGGCATTGCTGCAGGGCCTGAAGGACAGCCTGAGGAAGCGAACCTGGAGGCCAGAGCACGTATGCCGGGGGAGTTCAAAGGAGAGGCTTGCGGGGCCCAACCCCAGCGGAGGAGCTGAGGTGGAGGGCCCGTGGCTGGGAGGCCCTGGCAGGCCTGGAACGTCCATCTGTGAGGGAAAAGGGCAGGGAAGCCATGAGACCAGGCAGCTACCTGTGCTGGTGGAAAAAGAGTGCAAGAGGGTCAGCAGCAGATACCTGGAAAAGGCCTGAGAGTTGAGAGCCTCCCTGTACCCGGGGCAGGTCCCAGCGAAGGGCTCCTTCCCCCAGCTCTGCCTTCTGCTCTGGACTGCTCAGCTCCTGAGACAGGCTGCAGTATGGAGGTGGAAGGTGATGGGTTCAGCCATGCCCTCCTTAACACAGTGCCACTCTTCACCCCAGGAAAGTTCCCTAGGGAGCAGACACTAACCTGACCACCCCTCGTGGCAGAGGAAGGTGCAGTCGGACATTAAGAGCTTGGCTGCAAAGAAGAAAAATGTTGGATCAGCCCCAGGAAGGCAGAGTGCCTTGTCCCTGTTCCTTGAATGTCACAATGGGAGTTCATCCCTATCCTGGCCCCTTCCCATATACTATAGCCTCTACACTGGATTCTGAGCCTGATGGATACACCTGAAGGAAGCAGCAGACTCTTGGCCTTATCTCATGTCGAGAGAGCTGAACCAAGCCTAATCAGCCCTACTCTTACCTCTTTGGGGGCAGATCACACCGTAACTTCAGGTAAACCTGGAGCCTGGATGAAAGAGGGAAATGCTATCACATACCCCATATCCTACTGGCACATCACTATTGCTTATGCAGGGCTTCATGTAAGGTTGTACCCCAAGAAGGAGAAGCAAGATCCAGCCCAGTATCACTAGTCAAGCCTTTTTCCAATTTGTGTGCTGTCACCTCTGCCACCACCCATCCACAGTAAGTTTTAGAAACATATATGTCTTGGCTTGGCTTCCAGAGTAGTTGTAGAACACAGGAAATGGTCTCACCGGCCTGAGCCTCGGTCCCACTGCACAGAGGGAAAAAGCCGAAAGGGAAGCGGGGAGGGGAGGTCATCGGAGAGTTGGTACCTCATCACAGTCAGCTGAGACCAGAGAGGAATGAGGTCAGCATGGTCTTAGGCTGGCACTCCTTCCCTCCCCTTTGTTCAAGGAGCACAATAGGTTACCCTGATCCTCACCTCACCCTGGGGTGGCTGCAAACGAAGGATCCGATGAGACTCAAACTCATCCAGGTTTACTGAGCTGTGAAATGAAACCTCATCAACCCGAATTCCTGGCCCGTACCCTGGAAAAAGAAAAAAATCCTTCTTCTGACCCATGCTTAGAGAGAGAAGAGGAGGTAGGAGAGAAGGAGCTCCTTCTCAAACTTTCCTCCATGAAACCTTTGGCAGTGACCTACCTCCTCTAGAAAAAAGACCCCTATTCTCCTCACCTCTGAGTTCTGACTTCCCCACACAAAATTCTTCTGTCAAGCCAATGCGCATCTCTGTTGAAGGAAAGAACATCAGGAAAGATCAAACACTGCCAAACATGCCCTCAAGAAGCCCATGTGAAACCCAACCCTGGGCCCTCACCAGAGCCGCTGGGAAGGAAGCTCTTCAACCGGATCTCTCCCTGCACATCCACCTTCAACAGTGAGCCCTGAGAGTGGCGGGGAGGTTAACAACCAGAGTCCTGACCTCCCAAACCTGTTTCCCAAGTACCATTTGTTCTCCACTCCAGGATTGGGAGCCCAAACTTACATTAGATGCTATCAGTACAGACAATCTCTCGACCACATCTAAAAAAACTTCATTCTTCTGGCTCTGAGGAAGAAAGGGGGTTTAATGGTACAGGCTAAAGGCCTGTTTCCAAAATAATAGATAAAAAGAAAAGGTAGGCCCTGGGGTAGGACTTGTAGGTGAAGAAATAATATCCATGTCTAGGGAAATGGAAAAATATAGCAGGATCTTGGGATTCTGGTGCCACAGGGGAGGAAAAATAAAGTATGACCGTATCCATCCGTCTTTACCTTACCTGATCAGAGCGACTGGACAAGACAGGGCGACTGGCTGCACTGCTAGGGGCCACTTTGCTCTGTTGTGTCTCAGCCCCAAACTGTAAAACACCCAAAGCAACTAATCTTCAGCTTTGGTGTTCCCAGCCAATCCCCCTCCTTCCTGATCCTCCTCTTTCCCAGCTACTGACCAAGCCAACGCTGCTGAGGTCAAACAGACTGAAGGGCTTGCTGACCACGGCTTCTGTCTGGATGAAGTTCCTCAGCATCTCTGTGGACGTTGTCTGAACATAACCATAGTCCTAGTGGTGAAAGAGGACAGACAGGAGATTTGGGGCTAGTCAATAGAGGGAGGGAGTGAAAAAAAAAAAAAAAGAGAGTGGGTTTAGCTTCCTAACCACAGGATCCCACAGTAAAAAAGAGAAACACGTTCAGGGAAATGGGGGATAAAAGGAAAGTCCTTGGGCCTTACCAGCACTTCATCCAGGAGTTCATAGACAAGAGCCACATTGCGAGAGATGGTCCCCTCGCTGAGGGAGCCACAGTAGTCCCCCAAGAGAGTGGCTAACCTGAGGAATCAGGGCAGACTGTTCATAAATAAATCTTCCTCCTTGCAGGCCCCCACCCCCAGGTGCCTGGCCTAGCCCTTCTCACCGGGACAGCAGCTCTAGAAGGCTGAAGGGAGAAATGTTTTCAGAAGTGGTGGCCACCAAATAGAGGCTGCTGTGTCTGATGTGAATGAAATGTCGGTCATCGTGGTGCTGAAGCAGAGGCGGGAGGGAAAAAAGAGGGTTGTAGTGAAGGAGGACCCACGAGATCAGAGCTCGAACCCGGATGTCCCTTCCAGTCACAGTAACAGTGTGCCTTGGGGGGGGGGGCGGTCCCTGAACCCTTCCTAAGGCCTGCTTCCTAATAGATACGGGGTTAATGACAGGTGCTACCCCAGCCTGGTCAAAGACTGAGACACGCAAACACCGCTGCGCCTGGTATGTTGTTGGCGCTCAATAAACTTTCGTGAGTCGTATTTGGAGGAAAGTAACCCCCGAGCGGAAGCCTCCAGGGAAACAGCCCCTGAAAGCGAGGGAGGCAGCGCCCACCCCGTTCCCCAGCCCCCGGCCCAAGCGCCGCCAGTGGTTACCATGACAACCGGGGACTCGTCTCCAGGCAGTCCCGTCAGCTTCCGGTAGAAGAGCTCAGCCACATCTCGGCCACCACTGTCCCCGCGGACTGGCCGGGTAGAAGGATAGTTAAGGAGTGGGCCACAGACTGGCTCTGGGCTAGACTTCCACCCAGCCGTTCCATCCCGCCCAGCGGGTCAAGGATACAGTCTTTGTAGATGAGAGGGTCCCCCTTGGAAGACAGGATGAAGAACTGGGAAATCATGGCCGTTCGAGAAAGAAAACCAGAAGACGAAGAAAGTTGGGCCTGCCCCACCCTGCCGCCCCGGAACAAAAGAACGCGCATGGGCTGGCCCTTTAAGAAGGACTCCCCTCCTCCCTCACCAGCTCGGGCCGCGGGAAACCCGGCGCCAGTCCCGCGCGGCTGGGCGATTCCCCACAACCGCCCACTACCTCCCCGTCACTCAGACCAGGGTCGCCTGGTGATTGGCTGAGGTGGTGGCCTGCAACGGACGGGAGTACTGGAGGATCCTACACTTCGATTGGCCCGCCCGCGGCGGCGCCGGTCACGTGGGGAGAGACGTTTCGCGCCAATTTCGGTTGGTCTGCCACACTCCGCCTCACCGCCGTTCTTTGCTCCCAGGAGTGAAACTCCTGAACCTGCCAACTGCTGCCGCACGGCCCCTAGCAGCAATGGCACTTAAGGACTACGCGCTCGAAAAAGGTAGTGTGCTGCAACTCTGGGAAGGGATCCTGCGCGGGACGACTCGGCAAACACCTGTTGGCGTGTGCTGGAATCTTTGGGGACCAGGGTCTTCGGACCTTGGGGCGCGCGAGGCCGGAGACAGCCAGGTGGCAGCGGGATTGAGGCAAACAGTGTCCGGGAGGCGCGTGGGAAGCATCGGGATCGAAGAAGAGCGGGTAGTACCGCCCAAGACGGGTGCTGGGGTCGTGGGGGGGCGAGAGCAGGATGGGAGGCGGCACAGGGGAGGGTCCCTCGCGCCCAGAAGAGACCCGGGCCGCTGGGAACACATATCAAAGGGTCCTCGGCTCAGGGACGGGGACCCAGGGCCCGCCTCCCTTGGCGCCTTGGGGCATTCGCGAGTTCCCGCGTCCTCCGGAGACGCGCCGAAGTCCCGGGGGCGGGCAGGCAGGGGCCGCTGCGACCTGCGATTGGTTGTTTTCTGCCGCCCTCCAAAGCGGAAGTGGAGGCGGGCGGAAGTTGCGCGATGCAGTTGGAGGGAGTGTAATGTGTAAACAGTGTTCTTCCGCGCGGTGGCCTGGGAGCGAGCGGCCGAGGGTGGGGGCGTGCCTGGACTCGGGGATTTAGCGCGAGACCGCGAGAGGCGGCGGTGGGGTGGGACTGAGTGGCCCTTGGCGTGCTGGCCAATCGCCGGACGGGCTCCGGCTTCGGGCGGAGGAATCCCGAGCGGTGAGGCGGCTGGAATCCGGGCCCATGTGCTTCTTTGTTTACTAAGAGCGGAAGCAGTGGCGGGAGCGGGGGTGGGGTGGAGGGCCACTTTGGTGGCGGAGGTGCTGGCGAGAGCTGAGGTCTAGGGAAGCCGAGGGTAAAGGGGAGTCTTGTGGGTGGAAGGAGAGCTGGGAACTTTGATACCCGAGGGTGTTGTGAAGGTGTGGGAGGCCGTTCGGGAAGAATGCTGTAGTTCTTAACTGCCCGGGGCCCCATATTCTTCCCCAGGTAAAAGCATACATGTGAAAAGGAGTCCTGCTCTCTTTGGGAAGAACTGTATAGGCTTACTTAAATGTTCACGTAATTAATTAGTTCGTGGGTCCTGTTAAATATGAAAGTGGGCTTCTTAGGTTTCTGGTAGGAATTTGGGGTGAGGAATTTAGAAGAAAGATTGCTCCTCTTGATTTCACGTTTACGTTGTAGAAAAGGTTAAGAAGTTTCTACAAGAGTTTTACCAGGATGAGGAATTTGGGAAGAAGCAGTTCAAGTATGGGAACCAGTTGGTAAGTCAAAAATTAGGAGAAGGAAGTGGGGAAGGGGTGGAGCTTAAGATGCTGTAGTGGTTTTGTGGCTTGTTTTAGCAAGTGTGTAAGTGATCTATTCGGTCTAGCACCTGATATTTGATAACTGAATATCATACTACACTGATAATGACTAGGAAGTTTTCAGGAGTTGGGAGATTGTTATTTGGGGGCTGAGAAGTGACTATTGCTGTTGTGCTGCTTTCTAGCTTGTGGAGGCCCAGAGACTGCCCTGGGCCCACTGCAATGGTTTTTGCATAAGAACAAGATAAACTTGGCCCTGAGGTGTTACTATCCCTTTCCCACACCAGGTTCAACTGGCTCATCGGGAACAAGTGGCAATGTATGTGGACCTGGATGACGTAGCTGAGGATGACCCTGAGCTTGTGGACTCAATTTGTGAGAATGCCAAGCGCTATGCGAGGCTATTTGCTGATGCTGTACAAGAGCTGCTACCCCAGTACAAGGAAAGGGAGGTGAGTGCCTGGAGGAACAGAAGACCAAGAAATTGAAGCCTCTGGTGAGAGGATCCTGATGGTTTTGAAGTGTTAGAAAGGAGAAGTATTAGCTCTGCCTGGGGCCCTCTGTGTTCTCTCCCTATCCTGCTGCTCATATTTGCTGTCTTCCTTCTCTCCTAGGTGGTAAATAAAGATGTCTTGGATGTTTACATTGAGCACAGACTGATGATGGAGCAGCGGAGCCGGGATCCTGGGGCTATCCGAAACCCCCAGAACCAATACCCTCCTGAGCTCATGCGTAGATTGTGAGTATTTCTGTGGGGAAAGGTCAGGGACTTGTTCCTTAGGACCTTGCTGATGATGATTTTTCCTTCCTTAGTGAGCTGTATTTTCAAGGTCCAAGCAGCAATAAACCTCGTGTGATCCGAGAAGTACGGGCCGACTCTGTGGGGAAATTGGTAACTGTACGTGGAATTGTCACTCGTGTTTCTGAAGTCAAACCCAGGATGGTGGTCGCCACTTACACTTGTGATCAGTGTGGGGCAGAGACCTATCAGCCGGTATGTCTGCAACATGGACTAGGAAAACATTTAACGTTCCTTGTTTTTCTGAATGGTATTTTTGTTGGTTGGTGTTGATCTGTTGTTCTCTGGTTATTGTTGAAAGATGCTAATGTATTTACTTTATTTTTTTTAGTATATAGTTTTCTTTTTTTGGTGGTTGTCATTATTGACCAAGAGTAGCTTTAAGGAGTACTTGATACTTCTAGAATGCTTTCTGTAGGGAAGAAATGATTCAAGTGATGATAAGTGGTTCTTCTGATTTCCATTGGTGCTTTCTTACGTCCTAGATCCAGTCCCCAACTTTCATGCCTTTGATCATGTGCCCAAGCCAGGAGTGCCAGACCAACCGCTCAGGAGGGCGGCTGTATCTGCAGACCCGTGGCTCCAAATTTATCAAATTCCAGGAGATGAAGATGCAAGAACATGTGAGTTTGGGGTATGTGGCTCAAGATAGGTGGAACACAGGGTCCACTTGTATCCTACAGTCAACTCCTGAAAGGCAGGAAGAAAGAAAAGCCAAAAAAAAAGAGATAAGACAGAGAGATCACCTAGAGCAAGAGGGAGGTTTACCTGGAATTGATTGAGTTGGAAAGGTAAAGGATTCTTCCCTTTTGTAGTGTAGTTAAAGGTGGGCAGGCTGAGAAAAGCCTTAGAGTGCCTAGGGAAAGTCAGGTTGCTGTGGATTTTCTTTGTAAATTTTTTTCCCCTTTTATTTCATGTACTCTTCCACTTCTCTAGAGTGACCAAGTGCCTGTGGGAAACATTCCTCGTGGCATCACAGTGCTAGTGGAAGGAGAGAATACAAGGATTGCCCAGCCTGGAGATCACGTCAGTGTCACTGGTATTTTCTTACCAGTCTTGCGCTCGGGGTTCCGACAGGTGGTGCAGGTGAGAAGAGAAGTTTCAAATGAAGAGAAAACAGGCCTTTTCCTCTTCACCCATTTTTTTATCCCCTCCCCCACCCCCCAGAGGGTTTTGTCAAGAAATTTAGGGAATTGGGTGGGGGCAAGTTAAACAGATTTCATTCACATCCTAGCATTTTCCTGTCCAAGGGTTTACTCTCAGAAACTTACTTGGAAGCCCATCGAATTGTGAAGATGAATAAGAGTGAGGATGATGAGGCTGGGGCCGGAGAGCTGAGCAGGGAGGAGCTAAAGCAGATTGCAGGTAAGGGGTCAGGGAAAGGAGTGGGGATTTGAGTGTCTTTCTAGCCCCAGAATATATTCTAATTTCCTTGCAGAGGAGGATTTCTATGAAAAGTTGGCTGCTTCAATTGCCCCAGAGATATACGGGCACGAGGATGTGAAGAAAGCACTGTTGTTGCTTCTTGTTGGTGGCGTTGACCAGTCTCCTCGAGGCATGAAAATCAGGGGTAAGCAGGAAGAGGACGCAGCAGCTCAGGTGGATAAAATTATGTGGGAGGAAAAAAAGGGTGGTAAGGTTCATTGTCTCTTAATATCACAAAATAAGAGTTGGTGTCTTGGCCTTATGGGTACAGGGAAGCTTAGAAGGAATAACAGGAAAGGATGCAGACCTGAGAAGTGGTCTTTGTTGGACAGCATGCTTAGGAGAATGGTCATTTGGCTTCTTTCTTTTCTTCCAGGTAACATCAACATCTGCCTGATGGGGGATCCTGGTGTGGCCAAGTCTCAGCTCTTATCTTACATTGATCGTCTGGCACCCCGTAGTGAGTAGGGATAGAGTGAAATCCCATTCAAAAGGTGGAGTTTGGCTGGGAGAACAGGTCTCTGGTGAGGGTTGATGGAAGGAAAAGGAATGTAACCCCACAGCATTGCATAGTTCTTTAGCCACCTCAAGAAGGCCTCAGCTGGGGGAGCAATTCCAGTGCAGGCCTTGCCTCACTGGCCCATCCCGTGTCCTTGCCCTATGCTTGCTCCCTTCCTTGTCCTTTCTCTAAAACATGTTTGCTGCTTTTTTTTCCAGGCCAGTACACAACAGGCCGGGGCTCCTCTGGAGTGGGGCTAACAGCAGCTGTGCTGAGAGACAGTGTGAGCGGAGAATTCACCTTGGAGGGTGGAGCCCTTGTGCTGGCTGACCAGGGCGTGTGCTGCATTGATGAATTTGACAAGATGGCTGAGGCTGATCGCACAGCCATCCATGAGGTCATGGAGCAGCAGACCATCTCCATTGCCAAGGCGGGCATTCTTACCACACTCAATGCCCGCTGCTCTATCCTGGCTGCCGCCAACCCTGCCTATGGGCGCTATAATCCCCGCCGAAGCCTGGAGCAGAACATACAGCTTCCTGCTGCACTGCTATCCCGATTTGACCTCCTCTGGCTGATCCAGGACCGGCCTGACAGAGACAATGACCTTCGGTGAATGAAGTTTCACACCCAGAGAGACCCCTCTTTTTAAGTCTGGAAGGAGTGAGGGAGGTGAAATCAGAAAATCCCCCAACTTCTGGTTGTAGTAACTCCAGAGCCTTCCCCTCTTACAGAAAGGCTGGTCTGTAGTTCTTAGTGTGAGGCCTAAGATGCTGATGAGGGTTTCCTGGAAAGTCTGGCCTTGCCTCTGAGGGAGAAGCAGAAGGAATCAAGTGAGGGATTTTTGAAGTCAGGACTTTGGCATGTATCCCTAAAACGCATTACTCCTTGCCTCCATTCTTCCCAGGTTGGCCCAGCACATCACCTATGTGCACCAGCACAGCCGGCAGCCCCCTTCCCAGTTCGAACCTTTGGACATGAAGCTTATGAGGTAGGAGGGCTAGGTAGGGATGGGTGTACCTCAGCAAGTCCCTAGTACATGACTGTGTCTTGGGCCACATGTTCCCTGAAAAGCTTTTAGTCTTGGATATTTTTTGCTACTCTTCTGACGTAATCTAATAATAATAAGAACAGTGAGTCTTAGGTCCCTGTTTACCAGCCTGACTTCATGAGAATAGTGTATGCATCTTCAGATCCTGCCTTACTTTACCACCTCTGCTGGATCCTACTCCCTAGACACTGTATAACTCTTCTCCAGAGCCACCCTCCCACCCATCCTGAGGTTTTTATTCCTTTTGACCTATTTAGTTAAATGATCTTCTTTATTTATTTATTTATTTATTTTTTAAATTTTTTTATTGTTGGTTGTTCAAAACATTACAAATTTCTTGATATATCATATTTCACACTTTGATTCAAGTGGGTTATGAACTCCCATTTTTACCCCATATACAGATTGCAGAATCACATCAGTTACACATCCATTGATTTACATATTGCCATACTAGTGTCTGTTGTGTTCTGCTGCCTTTCCTATCCTCTACTATCCCCCCTCCCCTCCCCGATCTTCCTTAAACAAAGACTATTTTTGTTCCTTTTAGCTATGTCATAAAAACTCTCAGGGGACTGGATTTTTTGTTTTAGATATTCATTGGATCCTTTCTTATGACAGGTGGATTTGTCTTGTTTTTTAAAGGGCCTTTTTTCCTGAAAAGTCGGAAATAACTTGAAATGCACTGGCAGCTCTACTTTGGGAGAAATTTTTCAGTGATACTCAAGCCAAGCAAATAATCATCCATTGATTTCTTTTTTTCTGTTTAATAAAGTTCTTTCCAAGAATTTTCTTAAATGGGGGACCCTTGTGCAGATAGAACACATGCCCCCTCTACTCCGTTCCCATCTCCTTTTTCTGCTTCCCCATGAACCTTTTCTCCCACAGACGGTACATAGCTATGTGCAGAGAGAAGCAGCCCACAGTGCCCGAGTCTCTGGCTGACTATATCACAGCAGCATATGTGGAAATGAGGCGAGAGGCTTGGGCCAGTAAGGATGCCACCTATACATCTGCTCGGACTCTGCTGGCTATTCTCCGACTTTCTACTGCTCTGGTAAGTGCCCAGTCCCTATCATACTGGATGGCAGTTAGTTTTTGATCCCTACTTGGCAGTTTGCCTTAACACGATCCTCTTGCTGCCTCCTCCCTCCCACCGGCCCTGCTGGGGCTAAAGTGCTGACAGTGCAGATAGTGGTCCTCTCCGTGCTACCGCACTGTGGGTACTTGCTGCTCCAGCAGGGCATGCACAGCGCCCATGGAGGGAAAGGCCTTCTCTTCTTGCTTCAGCCTCACTGATGGATGGGTGGGTTCAGTTCATTCCCTGTGTCCTACATCCTGTGCTATAAAACTTTCATTTCTGTCCTCACATCTTGGACCTTGGTCCTGGGGGCTCCAAAGTGCTGTTCGTGCAGGTAGTGTGATTACCTGACCTACTGCTGAGCTAGCACTTCCCGAGCCCCCAGGACACACCCCTCTGCCAATCGCCTCCTTGGCTGAGCTCCCAAGGCTCCATCTGTCATGGTGGGGAGCCCAGTGGAGTTCAGAAGGGTCTGGTCTCCCTCACAGGACAGCTGAACACCGGGACTGGCCAGTGTTGAGAGGCGGAGACTTGGGCAATTGCTGGACGCTGCCCTGGGCATTGCACTTGTCTCGGTCTGACAGTGCCGGCCCAACACTGCGGATGTGGAGGGCAGGCAGGGGTCCCCATCCTTGTTGTATTGAGTAGGCAATGCATGGCTTGCCCTGCCTTAAAGCTGGAACAAGGGGGCTGTCCCTAATTTTGTTCCATTCCCCTCCTCCTGTCCCCATCTCTCTCCCCTGCCTTCCCTTTAGGCACGCCTGCGAATGGTGGACACAGTGGAGAAGGAAGATGTGAATGAAGCCATACGGCTAATGGAAATGTCAAAGGACTCACTTCTAGGCGACAAGGGGCAAACAACTAGGTGAGTGGCTTCATGAAGGATAGAATTGGGTTACTGTGGCTTTCTTGAGCAGGTCACTTTATCTTTGTGGTTTCTGTATCCACAAGTGCACAAAATTGGCCTCAGAATTCACTGGCCACCATCTCTGTTGCTGTCCAGCATTCTGGTTTGTACTCTAATTCTTCAAACCCACATTTCCTTCAGGACCCAGAGGCCAGCAGATGTGATATTTGCCACTATCCGTGAATTGGTCTCAGGGGGCCGAAGTGTCCGGTTTTCCGAGGCAGAGCAGCGCTGCATATCACGTGGTTTCACACCTGCCCAATTCCAGGCGGCTCTGGATGAGTATGAGGAGTTGAATGTCTGGCAGGTCAATACCTCCCGGACAAAGATCACCTTTGTTTAACTGCTATCTGCCTGAGACAATGAACCAACCAGGATTATGCTGACCTGCTTGCTCTTCTGAAAATGTAGTGACGCCCTGGAGGGGAAGGAGACCCCTTCTTCCCATTGATGCACTTGTTTTATTCCTTTTGCTAATAAAGTGTTGCCACCTTTTAGTTTAGGCCTAACTTCAGTTAAAACACAACATTGTGGGGTTTTCAAATTCATATCCCATTCACATTTGTGCTTGTTCTATTCTATTCATCTGATAAATCATGTAAGGTATCTGTTCTATCTGCCAGGCACAAGAATCCAGCAAGAGTGACTTCACTGCCATATGGAATATGGAGATTCTTTGAGCTGGGTCTCCATTCCTCTCCCCCTACTTAGTCTCTCAATACTTAACTGGACCTTGTTGTGTGCCAGTCTGACTTTGAGAATATAGTAGTATGATGGGAAACAGGACTTATTGACCCAGTTCTTTTTTGATTTCTTGAAATATTCCTACCATTCATCCTTAGTCCTCAACTCTACCTAAAACTATTTAAGGGTAACATTCACAAACTTAACACTTGGCACAAGTAATTACATAATGTTGATTCCAGTCTTTAGACCCCTTCCTGAATCTCATCTTCTCAATGTGGATACTAACTAGTCCCTCTGCCTCATGGGGTTGAGGCACCATGTGGATGAAAACAAATTGAAAAAGCACTCCTTCCTGGTAATTCATCATTCACAGAGGAGTCAAGCTTTTGAGTTGTCCATAATAAATGTTTCTAATGGCCTTCCCTCCCTTTTTGTGAAAAGTACTTTGAGTAAAACACCTTGGGAAAGGAGTCACTTGGCATGTTTATAGGGTTGACCTATATAAGTTCATGTCCTCCTAGGAGACCACTCAGGTGGAAGAAGGCAGCCTTGGTATAAATCTAGTCCACCTAACTGAACTAAGGAGAATCTTAAGTAGCAGTGAACTCAGTCACTGAAGGGAGTCAAGAAGAGCTGATAATAAAATGCATTGCCTCTGAGCAGGACCTCCTTTGAGACCCAAGGTAGAAACCAGTGTGGTGCCTAACAGAGAGGACAAAGCCACTGGAAGGGGTACTTAGGGGCTGCTCCTTTTATTAATGACAGCAGTTTCTAAAGGGAGTGTAGTGCCCGGCCCCTTTGGGGCAGTTGTCTGACCCCTGTGCATGATCCCTTCAAGTAACCTCAGAAGAAGAGCCCCCTCATTCGCCTGCCGATGCCTTGTCGGTCGTAGAGAACGTTGAACTTGTTCACAAACTGGTTCATGGTGTTGCAAGTTTTGGTGATCGTGCCGAGGTAAGCCATGAGTCCCACATCATTGCATTGCTGGGAGGGAATAAAAGAACCAGTTCCCCAGGGGGTCCCTCACATGTGCCTACAAAAAGGTGTAAACCCCACCTCCCCACCTGGGATTTTACACTCACATCATAAAAGTCTGTCTTGAACTTGTCTGTGCTGAGCACTGGGAGGCAGTGACAGAGAGCATAGGCCTCCCGCAGGATCTCATGATTGAAGGGGACCTCTCCTAAGGGCACAAAGAGGCTGCACTGATATGGACGCTGTCAATTCCTCAGGAGGGAAAGAAAGGATGAGTGCCAGGAAGGCACCTGCCCTACCTGCTTCAGAGGCCTTGACATACTCCAAGATGAGCTTGACGCGGCTGTGCAGCATCTTGATGGCACTATGCTGTGCTATCAGGTGTTCAGCCACTACAGGGGGACAGATGAAGGGTAAGAAGGCATATGGTCACACCTTGCATCCCTGCTTCAAAGAAATCACCTCCCTTACCAGTGGAGTTCTCTCCACTGCCTGTTGCTGTCATTCGGGCAACATGGTCTACACCAATGCGTTCAGCTTCCTCTGTGGCCAAAGTATAGGTCAGCTCAGCAAACAGCATTGTAGCCTACAGGGCAGAACATCCCACAGAGAGAGTCAAAAGCAGGAAATAGGACAAAAGCAGGATTTGAAGGTTGAAGGGTCAGGTATTACCTCTCCATTGATTATATCAATGACAGACTCAAAAACGCTGACAGGAAGCTGTAAATGACAAATGAAGAACAGCTATTAGCTCCTGAACCTATGTGCCAAAAGTTGAACTGGGTTCTTTCACACATTTTCTCATCTAATTTCCCCAATAACTTGGTGAGATAGGGATAATCCCAATCTGACATATGAAAATGCCTCTCAGAGCTTAAGTACTAGCCCAAAGTCACAGCTTATAGGTGACAGCATGGAGATTCAACTCTGACATTCACCAATAGAGAAGAGATGTCACAGTAAAACATAACATGGAATGAGGATACACAATAAGAACAATGATAGACAAGAATGACAAAGCAAGCCTGGGGTCAATAATACTCACATCTGTGTGCTTGGTCATAGGGTTCAACTTAAGAAAGAGGGGGCTCTCAATTATCTCGCACACCTAGAAGAGAGTCATGCACAGGGAAGTCAACACCTCATCTTTCTTCTTCCCCTCATCCTCTAATCTCTGCCCAAGCATGCACATGTGAGTGTGTATACCTGCTTATGGACGTGGATGTCGGAGGGGTCAGGCGGCCCCCCTGTGGTATACCAACCCAGAAACTCCAGCTCCTTGAATACCTGTTTAACTGGAGAGGAAGGGGCCAGAGCACACAGTATTCCCTTAAACCATCCTTCCTTAGTTTGAAGCTCCTGAGTTATTTCCACAATTTCTCCCTCCCTCCTCAATTCGTGGCTAGGTTTAGAACAATTACTCTTTTCTACCCAGGCTTCTTTCATTTTTCACTTTCCTTGTGGGGGATACCTGAATGTGTTCTTTTTCTGAGAGCTACTCTCCCTTAATCTTCCCTCCTGTTCTAAATCTTCTCTCCTGTTTATTCCTTCCCAGCCCTCTTGATATTGTCCACCTTGAGCTTTTCTTTTTTAAACTCCCACCCTCTTCCCCACTTCTGTTCCCCTCTCACACTGCTCCTCCTTGGTGTAATAATATTCCTTGTCAATGATAATCTTCTCTTCCACGGTGTGGGACAGCAGCTCAAAGGAGTTCATCACTTCAATATTTCGGCCCTCCTGCTTCCCGATCAGAGCCCCAATCACTAGGGAGAGAACAACACGTAGGAAATGAGGGTAAGGAATCTTAAACTTTTCCCTAATCACCTGAGGGTCTGAGGTCCAGTGTGATTTAGGGGTGGGGGGATTAGCTTCAGTAAAGGAAGGGGGAAAGAGTGAAGGAGGAGACCAAGGAGGAGGATTGGGTGTTATGCAGAACACTCACCCTGCACAGGTCGCCCCTCCTGGGAGCGCATGCGGATCCAGTGGTCTGAGATGTTGAGAATGACAAGGGGATGAAGAGCGACTGAAACACTCCCAGTCACTCCGGAGGCCATCACACTGGGGACTACTAAAGGCGGAGGAAAAGGAGAAAGGGTGAGAGTCCGCGCCCCACGTTCTTCCCTGGAGATGGGAGCGGGGAACATAAGAGCCCGGGCCGTACATCCTTCCCGCAAGTTACCCGGGAAGAGATGTCGCTTCTCCCAGGAGTCGAGGACGGCCTTAACGCACCCCGGAAAGGTATCTCCAGAAGCCGCCCGCACCGCCCGTTACCTGCTGCATCCACCTCCATCCCGCTGCTTCCTCCGGTCCCGTTCGCCGCCGCCATTTTCCCCGCGCCCGCCAGCGTCGGCCCCGCCCCCTTCCTTCCCGGCTTCCGTCGGCGAGCCGCGCATGCCCAGTGTTCGCGTGGCGCACGGGGCCAGTCCCTGCCCTCGCCGGCAGCTAGCGGCTTCCAGCTCTGGGAGCTCGACTGGTTTTCGAGCCGATTTTCGGTGACGCCGCTCTGCCTCTCGTCTGCGCCCCCAACCTGGTCTTCCTCATGGGTAAAATTGGGGTAAGGATGCCCCGTTCTGAAGGCTGTTGTAGAACGAAATCCAGATTTCGGACCACACCCTGCAAGGCCCTTCGTGATCTGGCCCCTGCTTGTCAGCCCTGCCGGGCCTCAGCTTTTCCAGGCTTTGATTCTCATGCTTCAGCCGTACTGACCCTTCTGTGTTTTCCACACGCCTCACTTTCTCACGTTTTAGAGGACTGATTCCTTACATTTTGTTTATAACTTTATCCCCTGTGACTCAACATGGTGCCTAACACATTAGCACCTAAATAATTTTTTGAGTGAATGCCCCAGCAAGTTACATATGCTGTCCCTTCTGCTGCCTCTCTAGTTTACTGATCTGGCTCTTTTAGTATATCTCCGTACCTTCAGCTGAAGTTTAAGCCCCTAGAAGGCAGGTAGAGACTTGTACCTGGTAAAGCCTAGTCTGGTACCAGGAGATACTTTATGATGATAAAGGTGACTTACAAGGAAGTTAGGCAATTTCCCCACTTAGGAGTCTGAATGAAGGACCAACTACCTTTAAAGGAAGCCATCTGAAAAATCCCTAGGGAGAGGGATCTTCTAGGCAAGGAGAAGTTAAAAGAGAGTTAATCACATTCTAGTCTCCAGTGAAAAACTTAGGAGATCTGGACCAACTGAGTTTTCATAGAAAAGTAAATATGCCTAACTTCTCTTTAGGAAAAATAAGGTCAGGAAAAATGTAGGCAGCTTCTAAGGAGTACAGCATTGAAACTGAAGGCTACAATAAAAAGATAAGAAACAATTTAATGTTAACCGTTGATAGTTTGCATTGCTATCTCACATAAAAGTGCTCCTTTGCCTTTTTGTTATTCCAAATGCTTTTGCAACATTGGTCAAATAATTCTATAACTCCTAAGCAGTGGTCATTGTGAAACTTATGAAATTGAATCAGTTGATTATACATGCTTCAGAAGTAAACTTACTAAACACTTCTTAAAAATACATGTATTAAAGAAAGAAAGACTACAGCTGGGCATGGTAGCACTCACTTGAAATTCCAGTGACTTGGGAGGCTGAGACAAGAGGATCATGACTTCAAAGCCAGCCTCAGCAAAAGCAAGGTGCTAAGGAATTCAATGAGACCCTGTCTCTAAATAAAATATAAAATAGGGCTGGGGATGTGGCTCAGTGGTAGAGTGCCCCTGAGTTCCATCTCTGTGGTGCTAAGGGCACGCGCACACATACCCATACCCCCCACCACCACAAAACACCCCTGGATTCATTCCCCAGTACCAAACCAAACCAAATCAAACTAACCAACCAACCAACAACAACAACAAAAAAAAAAAACACTCAAGTTAGCTCTCCATTCTCTTCTTAGCTTCCAACAAAATTACACATAGTGCATCAGTCTGTTGTTTTAACTTTTCCTTCCATTGGGTGGAGGTAACTAGGCTGGTGGGGAATAGATCAGAGGGTCTGAGAAGAAAAGGTAAGAATGCAGTGAGACCTGCAGGAGAGAGTCCAACCTGGGTCACCACTTGGTTTGTCTGTGGTGTTGTCAAGCAATTGTTCCTCTTGTGGTGTGTTAGTGGTTATCCATCCATTCATCCAACATTCATTTAACAAATATTTAAGAGTGTCCACTACATGGCAGGCACAGTTCCAGGTGCTGGGGAGATAACATTGAAAACAAAGTTTTGACCTCATGGAGCTTATACTCTGATTGTAGAAAGCAGACAGTAACAATACATGAAGATATTAAGAGGGATTGGCAAGTGCTGTTTAACATGGAAGAGTAGAGATCTGAATGGAGTGAAGGAGAAAGACATGAGGATATCTGGTGAAGAGTATTCCAAGCAGAAAGGACAAGGGTGAAGGTCTTGAAGCAGATATATTCCAAGAATTACAATAAAGTGGCAGGAACCAATGAATTAAAGGGAGAGTAATAAGACATGAAGTCAAAGTAGCAACAGCACTGGAAGCACATAGGCCATGAGAAGGTCTTTGGCTTTTAGTCTGAGTGAAATGCAAATAGAGTGACATGATTTTGACTCATACTTTGAAAGGATCATTAAAAAAAAAAGGCATAAACTAAGAAGTAAAGAGTCATCCAGGTTGATGTATGGAAATTGGCAATTGGGGAGCAGAAAATGAAGCATGGGATGCTGGAGCTATTTTTGTAATCCAAATGAAATATGAATGCGGCTTGGACCAGGGCAGTAGGGGTGGAAGTGGGAGATGACTCAGGCCCCGAGCTACCTACCTGCCTTTGAGCACATTGAAACACATTGCTTCGGCAGCTGAGGTTGGGTTTTAGCGCCCACTTGCCCCCTTCACTCAGCTGCCCTCACAGAGCTTCCAGTACCATTGCTACTTTGACTGCATGACCCTCTCCACAGCTCAGGGAATCCTGATTTAATTCAGGATACACTTGGAAGGTAGAGGCAACAGGATTTGCTGACTCAGGGATGCTTGGGTATCGGGAGAAACACATGAATTTATATCAGTGAATCCAAAAACAAGGTATTTGTGTTCCTATTGGGTAGGGGGTGGGAGGTTGAGAGGATTTGATGGTGACATACTTCATCCACATTTTTTTTTTCATTGCACACGGGCTGGGGGGGGTGGCAAACCCACAGAGTCAAGACTGTGGATTGACTCAGAGCATTGTGATGGTGTTTACCAGGTTGAGGAGCTGGATCCCAACAAAGAGATTATGAAGTGATTCTCCTCCCCACATTTCCCAGGATCTGTTATGAGTTAAATTTTCATGTCCAGCTCCATTCATAGCCCCCAGTGTGATGGTACTTAGAGGTGGGGCCTTCAGAAGGTTGTTAGGTCGTGATGGGATTAGTGGCCATGTAAGAAAAGATAAGAAAGAGCTCTCTTCTCTCTCTTTCTCTGCTGTTTGAAAACTGCAAGCCAAGAAGCACCCCTCACTATCAAATCAGCCAGTATCTTGACCTTGAACTTCTAGCCTCCAAATGGACACATTACCTTTATTTTATTTCTTTATTTTTATGTGGTGTCAGGAATCAAATGCTCGGCAAGTGCTCTACCACTGAGCCACAACCCTGGCCCTAGTCTGTGGTATTTTGTCATAGCTACCTGAGCAAAGTTTAGGGGAGAATCTACTGTGGTTCCCTCAGGGGCTGGAGTTGTTGCTTTCCTTCCATGGCCTGAAACTTAGTGCCTCAAACCCAACAGCCTTTTCTCCTGTCATTCCCTATTTGCATCTGAACCTTTTATCCAGACTGGTCAGGTAAGAGTGAGATAAGGGAATATATCTACAAAGACCTGTTACACCCCCACTTTTATGCAGCTGCTGCTGCATAGCAAATCACCACACATTAATTACTTAATATCACACCAGTGTACCCTCTTGTAGTTCTAGACGTCAGAAATCTGAAATAGGTGTCCCTGGCCTGAAACTAGGGTGTCTGCAGGGCCGTGCCCTTACTAAAAGAAAACCTATTACCTGGCCTTTTCCAGCTTCTAGTGCTGTATTCCTTGGTTTACGGCCCTTTCTTCCATCTTTTTTTTTTTTTTTTAACATTTATTTATTTGTAGATGAGCACAGAGTATCTTTATTTTTATGTGGTACTGAAGATCGAACCCAGTGCCTCACACATTCAAGGCAAGCACTTTACCGCTGAGCTGCAGCCCCAGCCCCCTTCTTCCATCTTTTTTTTTTTTTAAAGAGAGAGAGAGAGGAGAATGAGAATTTTAATATTTATTTTTTAGTTTTTGGCAGACACAACATCTTTGTTTGTATGTGGTGCTGAGGATCGAACCCGGGCCGCACGCATGCCAGGCGAGCGCACCACCGCTTGAGCCACATCCCCAGCCCCCCTTCTTCCATCTTTAAAACATTAAGTAAGTTGGCATCTGCAATTAGGGTTGAAGGTTAGTTTCATCACCTTCTTCTATAGTAAAATAGCTCTTGGCATTTTCTCTGTCCCTCTGCTCCCCATCATCATATCACCTTCTTCTATAATGAAATCACTCTTGGACTCCTTCATATAAGGACACTTGTGATTACATTGGATTCACTGGGATAATCCAGGATCATCTCCCCATCTCAAGATTCTTAACTTACTCACATTTGTAAAATCCCTTTTGCTATAATAGACTGATATTCATGGGTTTGGGGGATTAGGATGTGGATATCCTTTTTTCTTAAGGAAATGCACCCTCAAATGTTTTTTTTTTTTTTTTTGAGAGAGAGAATTTTAATATTTATTTTTTAGTTTTCAGCAGACACAACATCTTTGTTTGTATGTGGTGCTGAGGATCGAACCTGGGCCTCACGCATGCCAGGCGAGCGCGCTACCACTTGAGCCACATCCCCAGCCCTCCTTTTTTCTTATTTGTGTGTGTTTATTTAGTTTTTAGGATGTGGATATCCATTGTTCAATTGGCCATGGCATGTTTTGGGGGAGCCAGAGAGCAGAGTCCTCAATCAAGTGGTTGTTATCTTTGTGCTCCATGACCATGTCAATTCAACAAGAGAATCCTGGTGGCTGGACCAAAATTTAAGTTTGAATCCCCTAGGCCAGACTTTTGGCTGGGTTGCACCGAAAGGGTCTGCTACTCATGCAGGCCTGGAGTAGCCATTGGGAGAAAAAAAGAATTGTGCCAAGAAGTGTCAGGCAAATATACTAATTTTTCCCTGGGTGTATTTATGCATGCCTGTGATCCTCACAACTCTGGAAGGCTGAGGCAGGAGAATCACAAGTTCAAGGTCAGCCTCAGCAACTTAGATCCTGTATCAAAATAAAAAATAAAAAGGCCTGGAGGGCTGGGGATGTGGCTCAAGCAGTAGTGCGCT